GTGTACCTAGGGCAGAGACGTATGCTGGGACTTACACCCAGGGCAGGAGGGCCACATCGATTAGGAAACATACACAACATGAATTCCGATAATTGTTTTTTTACCCTTTATCTGGCAACAACAAAACAAAAGGTGTCAGTTTTGTTGCCAGATCAAAGGGTAAAACAAACAATTATCATATTTTTTCTTCTGGCAAATGTGGTTCCAATGGGGAACATGAATTCCGTTTTGGCGAGAAATTGTCAACAGCCGGAGAGAACCCGACCAGTTAGCCAAGACCTCTAAGATGCCGCTCAAGGCTGAGCGAAGCCTCGGGCGGAGTTAGCCGCGTCCTTGGCGCGGCTGCTGCGTGCCGGCACGCGGCCGGACCGAGCCGGAGTCGGCGTGGTCGCAGTGGCCACGCCGTGACGACCCCCGCCAGAAGCAGCTCCCCGGCTCGGCCCGCGGGCCGCGCGGGCATTGAGTGCGCCGCGTTCCACGGTCCCGCACCCACGGCACGCGCGTGTTGTTGTTGTCGCTGTCCAGGTCAAGAGGTCATCGTGGCCAATGCTGTTGGAGTCAACCCACCTCCCAGGTCACTAATGCGACGATCCTGACGGTTTGAGTTCTCAACCTGGATAAATAAATACACTCGACACCTCGTCATTCTGTGCTTCCTGCTGCCTGATAAATTATATAGTTGAAAATAAAATGGGTACTCAACCTCCACGGACTGATCTTACACTATACCACCATCATGTGGCTTTAGGTCTTTCCCGTCGTGCCAATTCTGTCTCGGTAGCCTGCCCTCCTCCTCCCTGCACACATGCCTCACCCTGCAACCTCCTATTCCTGATTGCATATTAGAATTTATCAATAAGGCTGCGAAGTTTTGGCTCAAGATTATTACGAGCGAAACAAGTCACGTAGACCAGGTTTGCTCAACAGCTGACGATGTCTGTCGGAAGAACACGCTTGGCAAACTCATCAGAGCGTGTGGGACCTCTGGGCCATGAGTTATTGTAAGCCAACTGGAGTTCAAAAACACATTCCTGCGGAGGGAGCTGGTAGGAACGTTGGGTTGCTCGGTCAATGGCCAGGGTCAACGGCGGCGTGGTGTATTCCGCAAATATGAGTAGGTTAAACGTTGAGTTTTATAAGGGCACCACGGGGTGACCAGCCTCTCCCCACCCAGCCCCACCCCTCCCACCCCCCACCCAGCCCCACCCTCCCCACCCAGCCCCTCCCCTCCCCACCCAGCCCCTCCCTGCACGACAGACACAATAATCCTCTGTGGGCTGGTGTAACCAGGAGGTTCCTACCAGTATAACGAACTACAGAGGCAGAGATGAGAGCAGCTTGGAGTGCTTTTGGAAAACTGAGCCGTAAGAATGAAAAGCACCTCTACCAACAAACCAAGAGAATAAAGATGTAGCATCAGTGAGTATCGCCTCCTATACGACATGGAATCAGAAACTTTGACATTGACATAGGAAATGAAACGCGGATCTTAAAGGCGTTCACAGAAGCGAGGGGCTCGCCTACAGGAATGACAAACTCAAAATAAAGATGTTTTTTTATTTTACCAGGTAAGGCCCATTGAAGCTATATATATATATATTTTCAGAAGCGATATGACCAGAAATATAGACTCAGCGTAGTGGCTTATCATGTGGAAATTTAAAGCAGCCAAATACTCTGAACGCGTGTTGATTACAAATGTGTAGGAGGAAAACTGTAGAGCCCCGAGAAAAATCCACAGGACCGCCGGGGAGAACACGCAAACTCCAAATATACAGCCGTTGACAGGTTCAGGGATCGAATTCACAACCTCCTGCAAGCCAGGCGACGTAGTTGAAACATCTCGCTACCGTGGCGCCGTAAATGTTGAGAGAAAGAGGAACGCGTCTCATCAGGAGACACGCGCAACCAGGGCCGCCAGGCCGGCTGGTTGAGCACACATCACGAGAAGCGGCGATGGTCAGTGGTTGAGACTCCACGACAATGGAAGCCCCTGAGAGATACAAAAAAAACCTCCACAGCGGAGATGACGCGATGGGTCCACGTGCACCAGCTGGCAGGATTGTTGCATCAAGAGGCCGTGAGAAGTGGTGGCCGAATTTCGATTTAAAAGCTTTAGTGACTGCAGGGATTCATCTTCTTGGTTCTTTCGGTAAAGTCTACGTGACTTTACCGAAAGAACCAAGAAGATGAAGTGGTGGTCGCTTGGGAACACTTTCATTCAGAAGTGGATCGATCATAGGCGACGATGACGATGATGAAATTGTAGGTTTGGCTGAATCCTGACCATCATATGTCATGCTAATCCCATCATATTAACCCTAAACCAGAAGCAATATCGAGGTGTACTGTGGGGTGATGCTAACGTCACTCGGCTCGTAGCCGAGTCGGGTTGGATCCAGTGAGTGAGTGCGTGACGCAAGCATTCCTCATACCCACATCTTGACTCATCATCAACATCAAGGTATGAGTTCACTCTGTTCACTGTGAGACAGGCGGGGCATGCGAAGGTGTGTTCATTACGCACGCACCGTTCATCCCCAGCACCCCCCCCCCTTCCTCAAATCCGGATTCTAATATTTGGTAATGTTAGATGAATTGATTCAAAGTCAGCCACCCGTTAAAGAGCGTGCGTCGAATTGGGACCCAAATGTTGAAGAGAAGGTCCATGCCAATAAACATCTAGAAGTGCACCGGTGTTGGTCGAGGCAGGCTTGACTCTGCTGATCAGACGCTGGATGTCGAAATCGATCCAGAGTTTGCTCGTAGCGGTACCATTGCTGCTGAGATTATGCACTCCCAGAAGGTCGTGTGGTTGACAGGAAATGTAATACGAACTTTCATTTTCTTATACGCAGGAAGGAGTTACGTTGTCTGCTTATTCATTATACGTCTCCACAACGACGTTAATAATTAACGTGTCCATTACAGAGTCGATTATCTCGTTGACGCGTTTTGTACCGTCTCGTTTGTATTGTTAGGGAACTCGTGTTCTGCATGGCTCGTCCCACCAGCCGCATGATCGAATGTTTACGAATCGCACAGGAATTTCCATCAATTGTACGCACAGGGACAAACTTACCTGGGGGGGGGGGGGAGTTAGGGGTCGGAAACTTGCGGCTCTATATCCGCACAAAATATCCATGAGTTGAAAATTAAAACGACGCTTTAAATCTACGATAATAAAGGTGTTTGTACATTTACATCGCTCCCGTAATGTAAGTTAAGCGTTTCGGAGCGAAGTAATTTTTTTGCGCCAAGGGCAAGGGTCGGAAAAACCCGCGACTCCAGAGTTGCATGCGACTCTTTGCTGCGGACTGCTTCGTGACCGTTATTCATATTCACCACACAGTGCATTGCGGCTCTTGAAATATTGATGAGTTAAAAAAAAAACTAATTCGAACAAAACGTCTCTTTTTGTTACACCATTTTGGTTGTCGACCCTTGCCGTAGGGTAAAAAAATCTGCGCTCCGTGACGCTAAACTTACATTACGGGAGCGATGTAAATGTACTACTACTCTTATTAATTATCATGCATTTAAAGTGTCACTTTCAGTTTAAGCTTACAGATATTTCGTACGAATATAGGTGTTCGCCAACAGCACTTGAGTTTGTTGACTGCACACGGGGACCTTTGTCTTTGTTTACAGTGGTGCATAAATACGCAACAAAATTCAACACATCCGTCAGTAACGCTGCCCTAACCACGGGGGGGAACATATACAGCAGTCAGAGGCAACGCTTTGGGCATGGTCCTTGTTCACAGCAGAGAGGCCTCCGTGGGGCGGACGTGGCAATGATGGCCCAGGACAGCGATGAGTGGACGAGGAGCACAAATCCGTGAGACTCCACACGACCGGGGAAGTGCTGGGAAGATGAAGAACGGAGAAATAAGTTAGCTGCTCCCCTGTCGCGAGTCGTGGGGGGGGGGGGGGAGCATCTCGCGAGACGGGCGTCCCAGAGGCGAGGAGGTTTGTGTAGCAAGTGGCGGTGTTGTCGCTTCTCGCCGAGCACTCGTGAGCGTTGACAGTCAACACGATCGCGCCCTCCTCCTCCTCCTCCCCGTGCTGCCTGTCAACCCGTGTCCACTTTCCCCAGCCACACGGATTGCACGGGGGGGGGGGGGGGATGGGAGTGGGGGGTGGGGGCGCGTGTTTACTGTCAAGCCTATCGAGCGTCGTCAAAGCGAGTCAACTCGATTGCAGACACAACAGCTATTTACACTTTTATTGCAGGTGTGTTATTGGGCTTTCCCTAAAATGTTGCCACAACTGCACTATCGGAGTTGCGCCACGAGACGAAACATCCGGTTGACATCTCTCTCCCAGAAAGAGTTGACAGAGGACGGCCAACGGAAGCGGACATCAAAGAGCTACCACTGAGGACTCTTCGAGTTCCCTCTAGTCCACAGAGGAGTAGTTCGCAGCATTTTTCCCACCCGCGATGCCACTGAGAGCAATCTTAGTCGCATGACAGTCGACCCGATAATAGTTCACGTTTGGAGATTCAGTTCAGCCAAATGGGGTGCAGCACCACGTGATTTGTGATGATTTTTGGTGCAACGCTTGGAGACCAGACTTTGATGATGATTATTTAACAGACGGGCACGAAGAGTGCTGTGAACATGATGTGCCGCACTTCTGGATTTGTAAAAACGTATCCGCGAAACACGGGAAAAAATGTGTCGAAATAGCGTCTATATCCTTTATAACACTGAAATACCCCAATCTCCCCCACCCCCGCTCCCCCTTCTACAAGTCTGACCTTCAGTCTGCGGTGGTGGTGGTGGATGCACATCTCCGCAGGTACCCTCCGTCTCTGCAGGTACCCTCCACCCCTCCCCCCCGCCACACCGCCGTGACTTTCCGCGCCGAGGGGGTTTGCTCCGGCGGGATCAGGATCGAGCACGAAAATGCGCACGAATTACGCAGTCTCTCTCGCGGCGTCCCCTCGGCCCTATAAAGTAACGGGCCGAAACTTTGTTTACGTCCCAGTTTGGAAGTCGCTCTCGCAGTCGCGGCTTTTGCTCGGGGGTTCGCTATCGCGACGCGCCAAGTCGCAGCCGGAGCAGATCCGTGAGCGCGCGGGCACATTCGCTGCGCCGTCTCTCGCGAAGCGAGACGCCGCGTGCGTGACGGCCGTGTAGGGGGTCACGGTAGTAAACCTCCCTCGCTCGCTCGCTCACTCACCAACCAAGAGCCATGGAGGAAATTTCGGAGGCGGCTCCGTCTGCCAACGGGCACGGCCGCTTCCAAGTGCAGCCCAGGGAAGACGGCGTCGGCGGCGCCCACGACAACTACGCGTACACGGACACGCACACCAACACCTACTACTCGCGCACGTTCGGCCACAACACCCTGGACCCGGTGCCCAACTACAACTACTACTGCCGCACGGGCACCATCCATGGCAAGAAGGCGGCGCGAGCAACCATCTACGACCTGCACGCCACCTACGTGAAGGTAGGCACACGCGGTCTCACCCACCCACTCCCCCACCCTCCACCCTCCACCCGGTGTGGTGGTGCCTTCATCCAGCAGCGGATAGGTCAGGAGCCGTGTGCTCTGCGTTCACAATGCTGATAAAGCGAACGCGTGAATCCTGCCGTTGTTGAGTTTTGTTGATTCCCTGCGCGTGTGTTCTTGACACGGAGCGCGCGATATCTCTTGGCTTGTGTTGAAGTGCACAGTCGAGAAACAACGCTCGTGACCCTCAGCGCTCTGTTACTCCTCTGCTAGGGTTGTTTGACCATACTTCACCACGTTGGTCAATGCGAGCCGTTGAAGGGCGTGGTGGGGGAGGGGGGGCACAACCGGTTCAGACATCACTCGACACCGATGTTGGCCGTGAATCCAACTCACACTTTAAACTGCGGTGGCTGCATAAACAGCGCTACACCACGCAGCCTCATGCGTGCGCGTGCAATGCGTGGCAAGCTCCCCCCCCCCCCCCCCAGGTCGATTCACCTTCAAAATGAGTACCGACGCGTGAACGTCACCACCAGGGAGACAAAGGCGGCCGGGCGTGGTTGTATCCACCCAACCCCTCGTGGGCAGTGCCGGCCTTCATAGGTGCTCGCGAATAGCCTCAACATTCTGGCTAAGGCGATGCGTGGGGATCTTTTGTCTTCGGTGTGTGCGCTGTGCAGGACCCTTCGGCGGTGCCGTCCACCCTGCAGCATGTGTACGGCGATGCCGTGCTGGAAGACGTTCCGGACGGGGAGCCGGTGGAGGAAGTCAAACCGCCGGAACCCATTCTCTTCGGCTGGTTCCGTGGCGTCATGGTGAGCGGCGGCGGTGGTGGTGGTGGTGATGCTGCGTGAATGTTTGTTGAACTTCTTTCGCGCCGTACGTAACCAACCGTGCTCATTGGAGATGCGGGGAAAGGACGACGAGCTAAACACAAAAGAGCAATTCTAAAAATAAATTAGTTTTCAAGCCCGATTCGAATTGGCATATTTGCAGTTATGGGGGCAGTGTTCCCTCTAGGGAACAAGCAATTGCAGGGCTGCGCCTTAACCTGCCGCAATCTTCAGCATTGGTCAACTGTGCCCTGCCTTGCTTTACAACTGTATCATGGTTTTAAGGCCAACTATCTCTCCTTTCTGTTTTCACGAGAGGAAATAAATGCGCGTTCACATCATTTCGTGAATTGCTTCAAAATGTCTCGCAACGCGAAACAGCAGAAAGTATAGAGTTATAAATGACACAGATCGCGACAGATTTCCGGGCTTCGTTAGGCTCGACTGGATAGCTAAACTACTAATTCTCATACTCTTAGGTTTTTTCGGTAAAGTCACGTAGGTAAAAAATTTAAATTAATAAAAGTAAAATAAAACAAATAAAAAAATCCATGACGTTTCGGAAGCAACACAAGCCTCCGTCTTCAGGTACGTGACTTTACCGAAAAAAACCTAAGAGTATGAATCCTTGCAGTCCCGAAAGCTTCAAATCTAGAATTACTCATTCTCAGTGGCGCCAAATTCACGGAGTGCCCACCGTGACCACTCTGCAGGTCATACGGCAGCCGTAGTCCAGGTTCCTTCCTTCCAGCAGTGAACTTTGAGCAACAACGACAACGCAGCAGCCGACGACGACGACGACGATGCCCGCCGTGACACTTTTGGCAACGTGTTCTGTCTCGGGGCAGATGCGGGTGATTGTGAACATCTGGGGAGTCCTCATGTACCTGCGCCTGCCCTGGATCACCGCTCAAGGCTGGAATCGGTAAGCAGTCATCTCCTCCTGGCGTACGGCGGCGGTGGTGGTGGTGGGGGGGAGTTTGCTCTTATAAAGTGTTAACTTTTTTGTTGATATTTTACCAGGTTAAGGCCCACTGAGCAATATATAGCTCTTTTACTGATAGCAACCTCCTGGTTACACCAGCCCACAGGGGATTATTGTGTCCGTCCGTCCGTCGTGCATTCAAAAATGGTAGGGGTGGGGCTGGGTGGAGAGGGGAGGGTGGGGAGGGGCTGGGTGGGGAAGGTGGGGCTGGGTGGGGGGTGAGAGGAGTGGGGCTGTGTGGGGAGGGGCTGGTCACCCTGTGGTGCCCTTATAAAACTCAACGTTTAACCTACTCACGCCGGCTTGTGCCCGCCCTCACAGTCGTTGACCCTGGCCATTGACCGAGCAACCCAACGTTCCTACCAGCTTCCTCCGCAGGAATGTGTTTTCAGTAGCGATGATAGGTCATCGGAGTGGCTTATCAAGTGGAAATGTATTAGCAGCCAAATACTCTAAAACGCACGTTTCTAAATGTGGAGGGAAAAACCGGAGGACCCGGAGAAATAAAAAAAATCCACAAATATACAGGTGTCAAGGTTGGAATCGAACCTATGCCCTCCTGTATACGAGGCAAAGTAGTCAACACCTTGCCACCGGTGACGCCGAATCAGGGCAATGCCGTGTGTAAAGATCGTTGGGTTTTTTTCTTGCGAACGTTTACAATACCAGGTGTGTGAGCTTTTGTTGTTGTTGTTATTATTAAATGCATGAAACGCTATTGCGGGTGGCCGCTACACGAGCGAATCTCCGCGGAGGCGTTTTATCTGCGCGTTATCTTGTTGTATTCGCCACAAATTCGCTAACGAATGACCATGTTGAGTCGTGTACAGAGGTCACAAACGGGTTTTGATTCCTTACACGTACCCGGCCGCAAACGGGTACCCGTACCCGGCCGTACCCGTACCCTACCCGTACCCGGCCGGGTACGGGCAGGGTACGGGTATCGGGTACCTGATTGCGACCTCTGGGATGAAGCCATGTTGCAGGCACGGGTGGGTTGATTCTAGGAACTTGAATTGTGAGAAGAGACAAGACGTTGGGAAATGAGTGACAAACGGTTACTCACCAGTGACTCACGGTCTACCCGTACCCGGCCGCACCAGGGTATCGGGTAGGGTACGGGTATCGGGTACCCGGTTGCGACCTCTGGTCGTGTATGACGATACAATGTCGCGTCGGAGCCGGACCCCATAGCGTAATGGTCCTTGCCTCGAAGTCGGGCAGCTCACCGGCATAGATCCGAGCAAAATCCAACTCTGCTGATGAGACCATGCGTGCCTAAACCTTGCTGAAATGAAGCCCTCCCGGCTGATGGGATGTGTGAGGAACGCGTTTTGTTTGTTGGCCATGTCGAACGGAGGGCCGCGCGAAGGAGACTTAATTGCTCGCATATTTATTGAGCGGAGTGGAGTCATGTTGACGCTGCTCTGTCTGCCGTGGTCTCTGCAGGGCTGACGTGGGTCATCGTGCTCGTGGCCGTCATCATCACCTCCATTTCTGGCCTTTCCATCTCCGCTATTTCCAACAACGGAAAGGTGGCTCGAGGTGAGCTGACAATTTCCCACCCACGACCGATAATAATCGTCGGACTCTTAACGCATTCGCAGTGCATACGTCGTGGCCGATGATGGCGATTGTGACGATGATGATGGTGGTGGTGAAACACTTCATTGAACAGTGTCGCAGTAAAACAATTGATACGTAACGGTTAAGTCACGTAGTTGGAAATAAAATTTTACAAAGCACGACGTTTCGATCGCAACACAAGCGGTCGTCATCAGGCAAAGGTGACGACCGCTTGTGTTGCGATCAAAACGTCGTGATTTGTTTTAATTTATTTCCAACTACGTGACTTCACCAAAAGAACCAAAGAGTATGGATTCCTGCAGTCACGAAAGCTTCAAATCAAGATTACGTAACGGTTAATTCATACACATAAATTCTTACGCTGCATGCGTCATCGAATGATACGTCTAATGATTAATCATTGTTACGTGTATCTGAATTAGGTTCAAATGCTTTCTGTTGGGTCGTGTAACAAACAATAAAGCACAAACGAGACTGAACAAACGAAGAAGAATGCAAATGATACGCAAAATCTTGATCACAAAATCAAATTTGGCGTCTGCCACGGCGTCTACCCGGTTGACCCGTGGGTGTCTGGTCGGCTTTGTGCCCAGGTGGGACCTACTTCATGGTGTCCCGCACCCTGGGCTACGAGTTGGGTGCTCCCTTCGGGATCCTCTACTCGTTCGCGGCGGCCGTGGGCATCGCCATGCACACCGTGGGCTTCGCCGAGACGCTGCGGGACATCTTGCACGTGAGGACCCCCCCCACACTGTGCGGTGCCGGCCCCCCACAACCCTCGTGTGCTTCTGATTCACAGGCCCGTGTTGATCACCCGTGTTGATCACCCGTGTGATCACCCGTGTTGATCACCCGTGTACGTGTGCACGTGTTTAACGGTGGGCAGCGGTAGTGTAGCGGTTAGCGCGGTTACGAACCCGGTCACCCGAGTTCGATTCCAGCTCACGGTCCTAGGTCGACTCAGCCTCAAATGAGTACCTGGTGCGCTGTGTAAAAAGAAAAAAAACCCAGCGCCACTGGGGAGACAAAGGCGGCCGGGCGTGGTTTGTTCGCCGCCCACTCCATCGTGTGCCGTGCCGGCTTTAATTGGGTGCTCGCTTACAGCACTTGCCCCAACAGTCTGTTCAGGCTATACGGGGGGGGGATCTTTGTCTCTTGTGTTTAACGGTGCGCTCTGTGCGTTCCTTTGCCGTGCGCGCGCGTCAGGCCTCGAACCTCATCATGGTGGACAAAGTGAACGACATCCGAATCATCGGCGTCATCACGGTCACCTTCCTGCTGGCCATCGCCATGGCCGGACTCGCGTGGGAGAACAAGGTTCGCCCCCTGACCCCGGTCACAGCCATTTGGCCGGTCACATGGGATTTTATTTTACTTAGGGGCTATCCATTTAGTAGGTTCGCAAAAATATGTCAAAACTTGACCCTTCCCCCAATCCCTGTACGCACGCGTGATTTTTACACCCCCCCCCCCCCCGCTTGACGCACCCCCTTCCTCGAATCCTATAGAACGGCCGATATTTAATCCACGCAGAAACGATCAAGGATTAATAATATTAACGTATTTTAAAAAAAGATAGTCCACCACCGGACTACCTAACTTATTTGAAGGCCAATGTCGACAAATAATTATCGAGGCTTCACCCCCCGTTTCCTAAGCGTACGTACATTTACACTATGGGGACCTCATTTGCCGGTAAAGAACCAATTATCGTACGTACATTGTCAGTAGACCCCCTATACGCAAGCGTACGCATTTGGGTTAACCCCCCCTCCCCCCTCCATACGTACTAAATGGATGGCCCCTTATTGCAGCGACCTAGAGCGCTCGCTACGGAGAGTGACCTTGGTCGTGGGTGGTGCCAACGGGACATTGGCCGACGCATGGCTCACGCCAGCGTCGGCCCTAAATTTTGTATCGCTATTCCGGTTTATGCGTCCTCTCTCCCTTCGCGTTCTGGGTTGAAAAGGGGGGATATGGGCGCACTCTTGCGCATGGCGTCGGTGGCAGTGGCAGTGGGCCGGGCGCTGGGGGGGTAGGGGGGGTCTTTAACGTCGTGCGAGATGGGAGAGACGAGGGGTTTCTCACGGTCCGCGCTGGCGTCACCCACCAGGCCCAGCTCATCTTCTTTGTCCTGATCATCATCTCGCTGCTCAACTACCTCCTCGGCACCGTTATGCCCGCTACGCCAGAGAAGATGTCCAAGGGATTCTTCAACTACAACGGTGAGCGACGGGAAAAAATTAACCCGTAAAAACAAATTTTTTCACTATAAATCCTTTATATGCGTGGCATCGGTTTTATTTTATTGTTCATTTCTGTTTTTCTTGAGTAAGAGTTTCATTTTTATCACATTAGTATTTTAAATAAAATATGAAAAAATGTTTTTCCTAAATCAGCAGTTGTCCTGCTGTATCGGTTCCGCCTAATGACGGTCGCTTGTATTGCGATCGAAATGTCGTGATTTAATTTAATTTATTTTATACCTACGTGACTTTACCGAAAGAACCACAGAGTATGGCGTACAGCCGTTTCAATACGAGCACATTTCTTTTTGCCTAATTGGTCGTCTTTCTCCCTCGTGATGCGACTTTGTAGGATGAACGTTGAGATGTATAAGGGCACGGGGTGACCAATAAGGTCTGAATTTGTCTGCAATAAGGTAGGGGGCACTGATAAGGGGTTGACGGGAATGTAACCACAACGTGCAACTGCGTAGACTGCGATTCCTCACTCACATCGTCGTCATCACCGTCGGCCGTTGCCTACCCACTGCTGGATGAAAGCCTCCTCACTATATTCGTCAATGTGGATTTGTGACGGAGGCACCTTGGATCAGTTTAGATCAGAGGTCGCAAACGGGTTTTGATTCCTTACCCGTACCCGTACCCGGCCGCACCAGGGTCGCAAACGGCTACCCGTATCGGGTAGGGTACAAGTATCGGGTACCCGGTTGCGACCTCTGGTTTAGATATCACTCCCCACTGGAGTTGTGTTTGCTGCTTTATGCATACACACAAACACATTAAAGGGGGCAGGGCTGCATCTTAGAAGTTGTGGTATTTATTCAACATTATTAACATCCAAAGTTGCGCAACGGGTTGGACTTTGTGTGAATTTTACGCGCGTTCTACAACTAAGAGCCATACTTTGTGCTTATTTCGCTTCCAGCAAAGATTTTCTCCGAGAATTTCACTCCGGTGTTTCGCAACACGGAGTTCTTCCGCCTGTTTGGAGTGTTCTTCCCGGCCGTCACGGGCATCCTCGCAGGGGCCAACATCTGCGGAGACCTCAAGGTAACGGACTCTGCAGCCAACTCGCCCGGCTATCGGCGCAAGTGCACGATACACATCATCAGTCTTAGTTTTTTCGGTAAGATCACGTAGGTAAAAAATGAAATTAAAATTAATAAAAATAAAATAATAAAAAATCACGACGTTTCGGAGGCAACACAAGTCTCCGTCATCAGGTGGGACCGTCACAGCCAGATTTGTTATTTTTTATTATTATTTAATTTTTATAATTTTAATTTCATTTTTTACCTACGTGACTTTACCGAAAAAACTAAGAGTATGAATCCTTGCAGTCACGAAAGCTTCAAATCTAGAACACATCATCAGGTTCAAGTTTCAAGTGTATCTTCTATAACCGGTCGAGAGTTGGGGCATTAGTCTGCCAGTAGGGAGCGATGATTGTTTCTCTTGTGTGTAAGCCCGATTTGATTCACTTGCAGCGTGTATATTTTTTTATTCACGATGGCCGACCGTTGCGTACGACGCGAGGGTGATCTTGAACGTCCGCTTTGAAGCACGTCATATTACTGTGCATGATACAGCCGCAGTGATTAATCAGGGCGGCCTCGGGATTTGAACCGTGAATCTCCGGAGCAGGCGGCGATCGCGCGAGCGCCGATGCTCGGTACCCCACGTCACCACCCAAGGTGGCAATTCGGAGTTTCCACCGAATGTCAAAACTTGTCTCGAGTTTTCTCATATTAAACCAATGTAGCTCAAAAAATTCCCTCCCAGAAGGCCGTGTGACTGATGGGATGTAACCAAAAGAACAAACCTCGTGCTTTGTATGTGAAGGGACAGATATGGAAAGGGGGTGTATCATCCGCTTATATTGCGACGTGATGAACATTTTCACCTGATATTTGTCCATTCGTCACTCGTATATAGTTTCACTCGTGCTGCCAATCTAAGAGCCTCAGATTATTGAACAGCGAATACCAAAGCGAAATAATTCCGCAGCACAGTGCCAACGTCGCATACCCGACCGTCACATATCTGCCCTGACCGCTTAACCGCTTACACACGCAGTGCAGTGTGTGCGTAATGCGGGGCATCGGTCATTTGCAATGGTCACATCCGATCACACATCCGCCGAAACCTCGGTGCCCAACGGGGCCCGGGTGTGAGACGTTGTGTGGTCATCGACACGAATCAGACTCAAAACGCGACGTGGTAGCTGAGAGCAGCCACACTCCAGCGACGCCGCTTACGATGTGGTTTTGTGCGAATCTTTTGTGAAGGACCCAGCCTCTGCCATTCCCAAGGGGACGCTTCTGGCTATCCTGACAACGGCCTTGTCCTACCTCATCATCAACACGACCATCGGTGAGTGGCTCCCCAGCTTTTGGCACAACGCGCATCGCGGGGTCCCCCATACGTACGGTGGCGCAGTGGTTGACACTCGTGCCTTGCAGTAAGCAGCGCCTGGGTTTGAGTCCCTAACTCGGGGCGCCTTTCCGCGTGCAGTTTGTACGTTATCCTCCTGCTCTGCGTGGGTTTGCAACGGGCTCTCCAGTTTCCTCCCAGAGATAACCCCCCCGCCCCTGCCGTCATGCACAATTTGACCGGTATTGGCCAAACATAGCAATGCTGAAACATGAACGTGCCTACAAATCATTCAACTGGGGATAGAGCAACATTGCCTCCTGCTGCAAAAACCTGGCAGGAACCCTTCCTGACCAAAAAAAGATTCTCTTTCTCGTGACTCAACACGACTTTGCTGGGTTACACAAGCGCAACAATGACAACAATAATTAGCAATTTTTATTTTTTTTATTTAAAACCGCGGCGGTGGCTTTGGTCGCAGGTGCGGTGATGCTGCGCGACGCCACTGGCCTCCTCTCCGACTCCTTCTCCTGGGTGCCCTCCGCCAACGGCACCAACTCCAGCCTCGCTATCGCCAACGTCAGCACCACGCTGAGCTCCATCAGCAGCTTCACGACGAGCAACGAGACCGCGAGGACCACCATCGCCACGCTCTTCGCCTCCTCCGCCTCCTCCGCCACCGCGGCGTCCGTCCGCGTGTGTAACGGCAGCAGCAAGCTGGGCTGCGAACTGGGATGGAACTTCACTGCCTGCAGCCTCTTCAAACCCGACACCACGTCGCCCTGCACCTTCGGCTTCGTCAACAACTACCAGGTGCCGGACGCGTTTTGTGTCCGATGGAGGATTCACCTGCTCTCCGTTTGGACATCATCTGTGGGAAATAAAGGGCTTTGTAGCTCATCGGATTTCTCCAGCGTAAACATCCTGATAATTACGACTTTGATGAGAGTGCCGTTTGTTGCTGGTCACGTGACGTTTGGGGGACTTTGGGCCCACTGCGCTCAGCAACTGTCAAAACAATTACAGCAAATACAGGGTGCTTCAGAACAACGTTAGCACTTACATGGCACGATCGTTTTTAATGGAAAATTAATGGATAATAAACTGTAAATTGATAACAAATATATGCTAATAGCTTTAAAAAGTCAAAGAGTCTCCAATTTCCATAATAGAGGTTGTTTTTGGGTTAGATCGCGTAAATATATTAATGTGTCGTTAAAATCCGCCACCACCCGACACAGCCAACTAGTAAGGTGTTGTCACGTAAACAGAACGTGGCCAATTCGTCACTCGTACAGCCACACCGGTGTGTTGGAGGGCCAAGCCACAACATTTACAATCTGAGCACGACGTTTCCACGTGTTCGCCATCGTTGTCAACGCGTGCCTGGAATTTTCTCCAGGTGGTCTCCAGACCCCGGAGACACAACACTTCTCGTGGTGTTGTTGGAAATTCTCAGAAGTGTTAACATTTTTTTGAAGCACCCTGGATATGTTCCACCTCGTTCTGCGCGGGTTCGGTTCGTGCCGATCGCGCGTAATACATGCAGCTGATCCATTACCACCCAACAAATAAACGCCTTAAAAAAGGTCTTTTTTTTAAACAACGGTTTTACTAACTGCATTTAATTCTCGGTCGAGAAGTACGTCAATGGCGCCTGAGACACGCGGCGCCTGCGTTTTGTGCGAGTCGATTCCGCAGTTTAGGTACCTTTCGATTTAAAGCTTTCGTGACTGCAGGGGTTCTTTCAGTAAAGTCACGTAGAAGGGAAATAATAAAATAATAAAAATAAAACATAATAAAATAATTCTCACGACGTTTCACCTGAGGACGGCTGCTTGCGTTGTGGCCGAAACGTCGTGAGAATTATTTAATGTTTTATTTTTTATTTTATTATTTCCCTTCTACGTGACTTTACCGAAAGAACCAAGAAGAGTTTAGGTACCGCGGCGTTTTTGACCTACACAAAAATATATAATGAAAAAGCCGTCAATACAAAAATTGCAATTGCTTGAAAAGAAGCAATTAATTGATGAATTGATGCCGATTTTCATACAGGCATGCATTGTCACCGGAGCTGAGTGCGTGTGCAAAAATTTTTAATCGATTGGACAACATGAAGTAGACTAACTTTTGATTACAATATTTGACCACGACAAACACAAGTGAAGTTAAATAAAACCCGTTGATAAAAAAAACTCCCGCGCTCTACGCGTCGTCTACACGAGCGACGTGAGGTGGCGATGCCGCAGAGCGAGAAAGAAGCGGGGAGCACGGTTTGATGTCAGCGCCGCTCTCCCATGCGTCACATCCGCCGCCTTCGTGCCACCCCAAGGTGATGGCGATGGTGTCCGCCTGGGCTCCGCTCATCTACGCCGGCATCTTCGGAGCGGCCCTCTCCTCCGCGCTCGCCAATCTCATCAGCGCGCCCAAGTGCTTCCAGGTGAGGCCGTGCCCGGGGGTGCACGCGATGCCTGCCCCCTGCGATTTCTCCACCGGGCACTGTGGCCATCCGCCGTTCAAAACGTTGCCAATCCACTGCTGGATGAGGGCCGCACCCCCTCGCGCCGTGTGGGTCACAGGAGATTATCAGACCAGACCTCGAGAAGACACGTCGGTCAGTGCGCGTCGGTGAAGGCGGGCGGGGGAGTTTGTGTGCTTGAGAGCACAGAAGCAGAGTGCCACACGGCATTGGATGTCTGCCGCACTGGCCCGCGCTGTTACTGCTCTGTACGAGTGTGGAGTTACTTCTTTACTTTGAGTTGACGCGCATTTTGGCACTTGTTTATCTCCCCTCTTCCCCACCTTCCCAGGGAGTGGCCAGGGACAACATTTACCCTGGAATCAGCATCTTTGGCAAAGGCTTTGGCCGCAACCAGGAGCCACTGTTTGGCTACTTGCTTGCCTACATAATCTCCATTTGCTTCATCATCATCGGTAAGTTGATCACTTTCAAGTTTATTTTTAGTGAACTGGGTTAGAACTCAAAGAGAGACGAGGGATGTTCTACCGAGTCACCAAAATGACAAAAAGCAATTTAAAAAAAAACAACCACATTACATAACAAAAGGTATAAAAACTGTGCACACGCACAAATAATCATAAAATACAATTTTAAACATGTGAGCGCAAATTGTGAACAATAGCCACATTAGACATTAAAACATCTAATCGACATACTCATTGGTTTCACTGCAGCTCAAAGAATCATCCCGTAACAAAAGTTGGTTTTGGCAAATTACTTTAAAAAAGAACATTCATAGTAAAATCCAGTTAAAGCAACTTCAAAATAGATGCGGGTGATTATGGCAGGAGTGTGTAAACATGCGTGGACATGTGTCACACCATTGGTACTCATTTGTGTCTTCTGCCTAACACAAGCCATTGATTTCGTATCGTCTCATTTCACCAATGCAATTGCACAATATCAATGAACCGTCAGAAGTGCTATTGCTGAACTTGTTCAACTTGAATATCGTTATTCTTGGTTCATTCGGTAAAGTCACGGAGAAGGGAAATAATAAAATATTATTATTTTCCTTCTACGTGACTTTACCCAAAGAACCAAGAATATGAATCCCTGCAGTCACGAAAGCTTTAAATCAAAATTTGAGTATCATTGCTAAAAGTCAGCGGCAATGATGACAGCGGCCGCATTGTCTGCATTGCGATTGTTGTGATACTATACTACGATTAATCGTACGATGCAAGATCCACAATAGCATTACTTCATGATTATCGCCGTTCAGATAATGTTCTTAAAAGAATATTCCCTGACAAAATATACAAACTCGTTTATAATAATGGTAAATAAATGCCGATTACCCACTACATCAGTGCTTTGAAAAACATTTTCTCGAGTAGCTGATGGTGGCGGTTAAATGGTGTTATAATATTTGCAGTCCTGCCGGATTAAGCTATTGCGGGCCCTTTAGCATATGTTATAAAGGGGCCCTAAATAAATAAAAACAGATAAATATTAAAACACAAACGTTTTACTTGCATAGTAAAGTCATTGTATTTTTTCATTTGCTATACAGCCAGATACTACGACAAATAGCTAACCTCAAACACCCAGTCGTTCATAAAAGTTGAAGGCGGTATAGAACTATAGTAATAGAGCAAGTGCAGAATCACTAAACCGGAATTGATGGCTTGAAAGCATTTAGCGCGGGGCCCTTGAAAGTGCGGAGCCCGTAGCTTATGTAGCTACTTTTGCTACTATTATTATCCGGCACTGCCTGTAATCAGTTATTATGTATTCATAATCAACGTTTTTGGGTTTAGATCGCGCTATTTATAAATGTGTCGTAACCCTCCACCACCCGACACGGCCAATCAGTAAAAAAGTGTCACGTTGACAAAAGACAAATAGTTCACTGCTTTAGCTCACCGGTGTGTTGAAGCGTGAAACCACAACATTTACAATTTTATGGTGGTTTCACGCTTCAACACACCGGTGCCCGATGATGCTGGATGCAATTACCAGCGAAACGTCGTACTCAAATTGTAAATGTTGTAGTTTCACGCTTCAACACACCGGTGGGCTAAAGCAGCAAACTATTTGTCTTTTGTCAACGTGACACTTTTTACTGATTGGCCGTGTCGGGTGGTGGAGGGTTACGACACATTCTAAACCCAAAAACGTTGATTATAAATAATATTGGTCGCGAAAGCCTACGTGTTAAACAGTTATTGTGTAATTTACAGCACGTGCGATATAAACGCTGTAGAATATAGAGATCCAAATAGAGATCCAATGACGAGGAGGTTCGTGGCAGCTCTATGTCTGGAGCTGTCTACGGACAAATTAATGAACTGATATCCACGTGTAGGTGAATAGTGGCGTTCATGGCATTCAATATGTCGTGACAATTTTTCATTTTTTGTCAATAAAGAGATCAGAAACATTGATCAACGTAATTTGGTATCACGTTGCAAACTGGCGAATCATTTGTTTCTGTCCACGGCGAGTGATGCAGAGTGTTTCTCACCATGAACACGGGAGGAGAATTCTCATCAATCTCACGGTGAAGCTCCATTTGATGCCGTTCGTATGTTTTTGCAGCCGAGTTGAATATCATCGCGCCCATCATCTCCTGCTTTTTCATCATCTCCTACACCATCCTCAACTTCAGCTGCTTCCACGCCTCCTTCATCAAAACTCCCGGTGAGACGGAGTTGATGCAAATGCCAATCGATGTGGAGGGCACGCAGCTAGCAGCAGCACGACGGCTCCTGCATTCAATGTCTCTCTCGATGAGCTCTGTGGAGCTCCACTCTCGCGGAGGGGGGGGCCCTTTAACCAACAGGTGGTGTGAGCAAGTGATTTCCAGGGTTGCACTTTTACCTTTACCTTACGCTGTAGGATGTCCGGGTCTATTACAATTGTAGTTATTTATATCATTCATAATGCGTTGTGATCACAGGAGGGTAATATTAATTTTAGCTCGCAGTGTTGCTGTAACTGTAATTTTAATTGATTCCAAGTTTGCCCAGGGCATGTTTAAAACGGACGTTACTCATGGCAGGGGGTTGAACCTAGGTACCCGCGATCGTCGCGCAGTGCCCCAATCACTACGCTAGCTGCTTCCCAAACAAAGCCAAAGATTGCGGGCACAGTTTATCCTTTCAAAATGTTGGGGGGTGAGTGCTCTTGGGGCCAAGCCGAGGCTCACGGAGCGTTGTTTGTTCCGTGCGCAGGATGGCGCCCCGACTTCAAGTTCTACCACCCAGCGGTGTCCTTCATCGGTGCGGTGCTCAACGTGATCGTCATGTTCCTTCTGCTGTGGTGGGGCGCCATCATCGCCTTTGGCATGTGGATCATCCTCTACCTCTACGTCACCTACCGCAGGCCAGGTGTCAATTTGCGCCAGCGTTTCCTTCATACGTTGCGTCTCGACACTTGCTACGTCACCTTTGTATTACCCCCCCCCCCCCCCGCCAATTTCTATACCAGTTGCTTCAAACGTTGTCGCGTTATGTGATGAAGAATCCATTCGGATCTCTCTGGCCCGCACAAGTGGATACAACAAAGCCACCTCTGAGATCCCTTAAAGTAAACTCTGGTCCACAAAATGGGAGAGGGGGATGGTAGCACTTTCTCACCCGCTCTGACATAGGAGCTGGCATTTATCAAAATTAAGTGCAGAAGAACATTTTATGCGACGGGGTTATTTTTTGCGCAGTCATTGGTGACTGGGCAAAAGTCATCAGCTCACTTCACTTGATGATAATTATATTTAATCACAAGACAGCCGACGGGTTTCAAAGCCAGGATCTCAGCGGTGCCAGCTCGACGCTCTAACCTCCGAGCCGCAGGGCCACCTGAGCTCGGCTTATGAAAACTTAAAAACACAGCTCAAAACTGCTCGGAGTCAAATGTGTCTCCGTAATCGAATGATCGAATGAGCATTGGGAAGCATTCGTCGACGTCCGTGAACCCTTGCCAGTGATGCCAATTCCACATTGATACGACGAGGGTCAGTCTGTGAAGAAGTGACTGTGTCACAATCGGACCGTTGTGAATTTAAAAAATATGGTTGGGAGTTCACTCAACTCATAATCTCTCCAGGGTGAATAAAATAAGTACTACTTTGTGAAAAGTCAGACTGCATCCTATGGCGAGACTCAATTGAGCAAGGATATACCGATGGTTTGTGAATAGCACTGCATGTTAACCCGACCATGCGTCGACAGCTGGCAGTTAAAACTGGACGCCTCCAGATACTAACAACTTATGTGGTCCCTCTTTGCAGATGTGAACTGGGGTTCATCGATGCAGGCCATGAGCTTCAATACTGCACTCTACACGACCCTCACTCTTGATCGGGAGCTGTACCACGTCAAGAATTACAGGTGACAACACACCAAGGGGATTTCTGTGTCTCGCGCCTTCATAGTCATACCGGCTACCTTAAACAATTCCAGTACTGAGGAATCATCATAGCCATTGATTTTGCTGGCCTGTGTGTTATGGGTCGCCTTCATCCACCTCAACTCCAGGACTGTGGTTTCGGCCCCTCTAATCTCCTGTAGAGGCCTCCTGCGTGTTGGCCGCGAGTCACGCCACAAATCTGCACAGAGCACCAAGGCTCCCTAAATGCCTCCCCCTTTAAATTCCCCAGCCGACTGTGCTGGTGATGGTCAACCGATTCTTGAGGTCGAAGTCTGCCCCCTCTGCTCTCAAATTAATGCTCAGCAGTGCTCATCAGCATCGATGGTCCCCGAACCAGGAGTGGAAATTCCTCATTCCTACGGTAGAATTATTATCTCGGGGAGGACAACCTATGTTGATCATTGCTGTTATTGTTGTTGTTGACCAACCTCAGAAAGAAGAGAGGCTGAGACAGCGAGTTACTGCCGGTGGTTCTTTATCCATCTACGGCTAGAATCCACTTTGTGCGTATGAGCGCCTGACGATCCCTGTGACCCGACCGCTCCTGCAGGCCCAACTGCCTGGTGCTCACGGGGCCTCCAAACCTGCGGCCGGCGCTGGTCGACTTCGTGGGCACCTTCACCAAGGACATCGGCCTCATGGTCTGCGGCAACGTCCTCGTGGTAAGCAAGGACGCTTCATTTTTCCTGGTCTCCTGCATCACGCAGTGAAAATTACCCAGTTGGCAAGGGAGTTGGGTCTGTGCCATCCGTGGCACCACTGATATCCTGGGTTCGAATCCAAGGAGCCTGGCCATATGTTTAGTTTGTTGTCCTTCCCCGCACCTCTGATTGCTGCACGGTTGGCGACGTAGGGCGCAAAAGTAGTTCAACATACCACAAATATGCAATCTACACAAATTTACAATGAGGCCATGCAATGTACGGGTTTTTATATAATATTATGTACAAGCCATTATCCATTTACAATACTTTATTAAAGTCGTAATCATCATAGTGTATCTTGCAACACTGCAATTAGCAAACAATGAAACGACGAATATTACAACAAACTCTATTAAGGCCTCTGAATCTCGGAACGCGCAGGCGGTTCAGCGTCAATTTTATTAGAGAGGCGTAGCGCTGCCGCTTTTAAAAACATTGTACTCACCGCAAAAAACCATAGCCACACGACCACCACACTCTACGATAGCTGGCGCCAAGCTGTGAAAGACGCCGTTCCGCATGGCCTTTTACTTCCGATTCCGTTCCGATGACGGACGCGTACGTCAAAACTGATTACGTACGTCGTACTTCATCAGCACGAGAAAGGGTTAAATAGGTGTCGATGCGTGTGCTAGCCCGCGCCCTGACCCTGGCCTCGCGCCGGCCTTGCACCTGCGTCTCCCCTCATCGCAGGGTCCCAAGGGGGAGAAGGTGAAGGAGCTGCTGGAGAACAACCACAACGAGTGGCTGCACAGGCGCAAGGTGAACGCCTTCTACACGGGGTTCGTCGCCACCAACATGCAGGACGGAGCCTTCGGCCTGCTGCAGGTCTGACGCAAGCGAGCGCTCCGCACGGCCCGCGTGGCCAACACACGTCGGCTTCGGTCAGTGATTATGGCCAGGGTTGGGGGGGGGGGGAGCGGGGAAAGCATCTGTGGTGCATGTTAGCGTCCCTCCCGTGATGGAATAGGCATCCCCCTGTTTTTACTGTGCACTCAGGCCGTCCGGTGTCACTGGCACATCGGTCAATCCATTACCCGTCAATGTCACCGATGACGATTTGTTTTTAAATCGAACTGCCCTTCTTTACGCCGGGGCGTCTCATAGCGCTTAACACGTGACAAACAACTTTCGTCTCGTCTCATCTCCTCAACACGTTTTTGAAAGGACCCCCCCCCCCCCCACTCCAGGGGCAGTTGTCCCTGTGCAGCACAGGGTGATTCAGCACCTCACCTGCCATGTGGGCATTACTCTGGCATCAGGTGGGGGCGATGATTGCTGCTGTGTGTTGCAATCCCATGCTCATATGCGGAAGGAAACCGCTCACGAGTGACGGCTGCCGTTGTTTTGCCCCGCAGAGCACCGGCATTGGGAAGCTGCGCCCCAACATCCTCATTATGGGCTTCAAGAACATGTGGCAGGAGGAGGAGTCCATTAACATGCACCACTACATCCAAATCATCCAGTGAGTGCTGCTCATTCGCGCTGCCCTTGGGAAATTAGGAAACGCGCCACGGTGTGCCTGCCTGCGGTCGCCAAAAAGTCAAGTCAGGCACTGCTGGCAATATGTGCAGACACCTGCCTGGCCCAAGTACACGTACCATATGCAGTACTACAATGGATGGCCCATGGCTATCACGGATGGGAAATCACAAAAGGAAATTATTTTGTTGAATTGCTCATCATTACTTTAACATGCCAAGGTGCTGTAGTCCATGTTGGTGAACACCGATCCGGCTCTGCTAACCGGTTCTTCCAGCTGCTGCTGCTGACGCGGCGACGCCGTGATTGCACCCTCGTGTTTCCACAGCGACGTGTTCGACTTGAACATGTCCCTGGGCATCCTGCGAGTCAAGGAGGGCATCGACATCACCAGCATGCCCGAGACTCACGGTAAGCGACCACAGCACAAACCAGAAGAGTCGTGGAGTAACGGGGGGGGGGGGGGGGATACGTGTTCTTGTTCTCTCAATTTGCACCGACCTACCGGATAATGCTCATACGGGATACACTTTGTGCTGGGCCACGTAATGATCTGGCCAAATTGGCGCTGTAAGACCGTCCAGCACCCGACGTAGCTAAAACGAATGAATTTGTCACGTGGCGTACGAGCGTTTAATGCCCCAATCGTTATTGGTTCAGCCTCTTCCGTGAGTTGCGGCACAATTCTCACAGCCAAATTTGGCGATGAGATACGCGACGTCTTTTAACTTCGGTTTCTCAAAAAGCTCCCAGCACGTGGAATGAAACGTCGGACATCATGCCGAACAATGCGTGGCACAAACCGAGAATGCATCAGATGGATAGTTTGATCGGTGTTTATTTCTTTGCACATTTGCTCTCCGTATAACAATCCAGTTTCCTTAAGAGCTGTTTTTAGACAACGTGGCTTATCATCCTTGTGTAGACTGTATACCAAGGTCATTTTAAGCTATACAATATTTCGCAATGCATTTGAGGTTCTCGAACAAATTGAAGCAATTTATGTCCACATTTACACATCGCAATCGGACAGTCACGTTGAGATGTGCAAGTCATCGTTGATTAATTTTTAAATATGGGAAATACTCCATCTAAAGTTCGAGATAAATATTCAGAGGTACAGCAATACGATAATGAACTCTCCTCTCTCTTTAGCAATGAGAAAGCAATATCTAAAAATTAATCAACCAAATGAGGCATTGAAGGCCTTTGGGCAGTAAAATAGGCCAGAGTACCTTTCAGAGGGGCCCTCTAGAGCTCCCTAAGGTGGAAGCCCTTCCACCAGCAGTCGCGCGAGTAAGCAATTGCAGGGCTGCACCTTGACCCTTTCGCGCATTATTTTTTTGACTAGTTGTGCAATTAGGATCATCTGCATATTTAAGTCAAAGGGCAGTGTCCATTCTACTCTAATTAGCATTGGGGGCAGCACTCAACTCCCTTGTGGACCCAGAGTCACAATCATATGTTAGGGACCAGTTGATCCCATTCAATGACCTCTAATTGATTCTGCTCCAAATGGTGCTTGTTTATATTTATTTCAGACTGATGATGGGCTGAGTAGGCCCTGGCCGGGATTTGAACTCTTAACCTGGGCCCAATCGCTTATTTCAGGAATGGTGCATTGCTGATTTCAAAAATCTTGAGTTTCTGCCGAATGATTTTCATGGCGTTGCTTGAGCAATCCATCTCTTGGGAGCAATGATTCTGGCTTTTGTAACCTCTGTGCGTCTTGTCTGCTTATGGTATTAGCTTTAGAGCGACTTCAGGCTCAAATTTGTGATGCTTTTCACTTAAAACTATGCCAAGCATTGTTAGGAGAAACTTAAAAGATTCTGACCAACATCTAGGAAGTCTAATTCTCCCAGATCATTATGTGGCCTAACCCAAACAGCACTTATGAATCATACCATCAGCTGAAAAACCTTACACGCTCGGGTAACCAGACCATCCTGTACTTGCCTGGACAGTTTGCTTGTGAGGACCGTGAGAAATGTTTCGATGCATCTGCGAAGGTTTTAGCAGTGGTGCCCCGATGTTTGTTAGGGTTGTATACCACGCGGTGTCGATGTCAGTGGTTTCGGGATTAAACCGCGTGTCGTTCGTGTGTACGCTCGAGGTTTCGCTCCGCGTGCTGGGAGCTTCGGACCTGGAAACGCATCGGATGGCTCGTTCGTAGAGACAATGTCAGGCACCGCTTCTTCCAGAAAGCACAGAATAGTGGGGGCATTCTCGAGTGTAGTTAGTGCGCATTCGTGAATGGGGTCAACGCGATCCGAGATCGGGTTGGGACGTCACTCGCCACTGATGTTAGCCACGGCTGACGGAACGCTTATTTTAAATCCTGGTGACTCACAGGAGTCAATAGTGATCGCACATTCCCGTGAGACACCAGGACTTAGACAAGCGGTAGCAACACCTCGGCTGGATGCGCACTGCCCGAGGATGCCTCCAGTGTGAGAGGAGGCGAGACGCCGTGAAGAAGCTCGCAGCAGCGCTCGCCACAGCTATCCCCAAAGAGCAGCCTGTTATTAGAGCCTTCATCACATTCCAGTGAGTCAATCGACAGGCCCCGTGTGGTGGGGTGAAGCGTGGGTGACCCCCACCTCTTCCGCGATGCGTATAGCCAGCGTGGAAGAGTAGGCCAAAAATACCTTACCCTGCAGAAGTGCTCTCTAGTGCTTCTGCTATTGGGGAAGTTGGGGGAGGAGTGGGGGGGGGGGTGCTTCAGCTGCCAGGAGCGTGATTGCAGGGCTGCACCTGTGCCTTTACCCTGTGTTAACGACGTCGCTGTTTTGTTCTGCTCATCCAGTCAACATGGCTTTCCAGTTTGACGCGAATAGCAAGTCCTCTCGCAAAGTGGCCAGCCTTGTAGCAACGTCAGCGTAAGGATCCGCAGCAAATGCACACAAAATACTCGATTTTTGCACCTCCCCGGCGCCAGATTGCATTCGCGCCACGAAGCGTCGGATACGTCTGTTAAAAACATTTCTTCCGCGTTCTTCCTGCAGTCTGAAGAGCGTTTCCCCGAACACGGCGCAAGGTATAGACGCTGCCGCTCTCCCCTTTTTGCTGTGGCACCTTCTTCTGCCTCCCTCCCCCCTGTACCGCGGTGAACACTGAAACTGAAAAGCGGAAGCAACACACGAAAAAAGGCCACTGGAAAACAAACAAAAAACGGAGGTGGCACGAGCACTGTCGAGCTTGCTAGCAAGTCGGGTTACGGGATGGCTAGCTCTCGTGGCCGGACGGCTCATGTGGTTAATGCTGACGGTCCCACCTGATGACGGAGACTTGTGCTGCCTCCGAAACGTCGTGATTTATTATTTTATTTCTATTATTATTTCCACTATTTACTATTTATTTTATTGTTTACCTACGTGACTTTACCGAAAAAAATCCTAAGAGTATGAATCCTTGCAGTCACGAAAGCTTCAAATCTAGAATTAATGCTGAACACCTGATAATGTTATGGTTAGGGTTGAGGCGTCCGATTGGCCATGGCACGTGTCTCGGTCATCGCTTGCCCCTCCTTCCCAACGCAACGCGTGGCATTTTTTCAGATGTTGGCTGCTTTTTTGTTTCTGGTGTTCACGGTGACAATCTTAACTCAATCACGATCGTCAGTGGTGATTTTGCCACAGCTGACCATGGTTCCCTAACATTTAACATTTGTAGGTTAAAACAAATAACGGCTTCACATTAACAGCAAATGTCCAGTATATTACAGTACTGCAACATTCCAGTATGGTATTTCAACTAGTGGGACTGTTGGCAGATCGCTTAAATTAGCCCATCATCCTTACAGTAGTTTTTAAAATAGGTACAGCTTTGTGGGAAATCACCATTGGTTGTCTTGTGTAGACAATGGATATTGCCATAGCAATGTGAAATTTCCACTTCCAGTTCAGCTCAGGGCTGTAAATGAGAAAATTAGCAATGCCTGCCACTTTTTACGAACACGGGGAAAACCTTTGACTGAATATACCATGGTGATCTGTGCCAAAAACATCATTCGCAAACCTACCGGGCTTCATCCTTGTCTGGGAAGCAGCCCCTTTGAGCACAGCTTTTGTGCACGCGCGGCAACCATACATCTTTGTGCTTCTATCCACAACCTGGTGAAGAGAGCCTCTTCCTGAGATGTAAATCGGGTCAGCGGTGTTTCACACACTAACCTAACGTATCGTGATCGGCGGTCTTAAAATGAAATCAAATGAAAGGCAATGAGATAATTTAACTGCCATTGGGGCGAATGACATTACAGGTGAATGGCAGAGCGAACGCTCGCTTCCCAAGGCTGTATCTGTGGACCCTGTAGCCCAGTGCCGGATTAAGCTAGTGCGGGGCCTGTAGCATGTTATAAAGGGGTCCTAAATAAAAACAAAACCCACATAAATATGAAAACAAAAATGTTTTACTTGCACAGTAAAGTAATTGTATTTTTTCATTTGCTATACAGCCAGATCATACGACAAATCGCCATACTTAAACAGCCAGTCGTTCATAAAACTTGAAGGCGGTATAGAACTATAGTAATAGAGCAAGTGCAGAATCACTAAACCGGAATTGATAGCTTGAAAGCATTTAGCGCGGGGCCCTTGAAAGTGCGAGGCCCGTAGCTACTACATATGTACATATGTAGTAGCTACGTTTGCTACTGGGATAATCCAGCACTGCTCTAGCCGGGTCAAGACAAAACAACGAGAGTCCAATTTCGCGCAGAAATTCACCGCGGATCCAGAGACTTTGCGCTTTGAACGGAAACCACGTTACGTGGGACACGCACTGCAGGGGGTGGGGGGGGACGATTCACGAGTGACTTGGCCCCAACGCCATCGAACGACCCGCAGCCACGTGGCGCGACGCACGTGAGCACCTTGCAACGTGCTGCGCGCTGAGATCGATTATCACGAACGTGATACGCTCTGGAAATGTTCTTCATGTTTATTGAAATATAATTACACTGGTCAACACAATTTTTCTGGCATAAGGTGTTCCAACGGGTTTAAGGTGATTTTGGGGTGCCGATTACAAATCTGGCATCGGTTTTTGTCTATCACATCAGATTTTTGAGATATCAAATATTGTATTTTCAATAAAAACTGCAGAAGAAAAATCTTAAATAAATGTGGATATCTACATAAAATGATATTATAAACACACTATCCTCAAAATACAGCACCATGTTTTAACACTAAAGCAGTCACTGACTCGCATCAACTTGCAATCATAAGTGACAAGAGTTAATTTCGGGTAAAATCAATAAAAATGGGATATGCCGATAGGATAAAAATGAGATGTGACAGAGCAAATCTGAGATCAGATTTGGAATCAGCACCCTGAAATTAGTCTAAAACAGCTGCAAAAATTTTTTTTTTTTGTTGACCAGTGTTATTACGAACGTGATACGCTCGTCGAATCGTGCCTGGGAGAATCACCGACCCGCACTGACCAGCGTGGCGATGTTACGGTAAAATAAATCCCCGTGACCTACACGGCGTGGTGGGGGGGAGCGACCTCCTTTCATTGGTGGATTGAGATTGGCTGGAATTGATTGATTAATTTCATTTTACTATGCGTTTATACAGTTATATAACGTATCCATTCACACACCTGTGGATTCTGCATGTATTCTAACAGAAGCGTAATCGAGTGCTTAAAACAAATCGTGACCCCAAAACAATAACGAATCCTCAAATCGTGGGGAAGGGTTCGTCGTTACCCCTCTAGTGCCGTGTAAACTGGTCGGTGCATTGGGGAGATGGTCGGCACACAGGGGGGGGGGAGGGGATGTAAGTGGGGTGAGCCGTGCGGTTGCGGCGTCAACTCATTGCTCCTGTGTCCCGGTGCTCGCAGAAGGCACCGTCCAGGAGGGGATGCCGCAGATCAGCACCGTCTTCCAGTTCAGCCAGGGCAAGAGGACCATCGACATCTACTGGCTCTTTGACGACGGAGGTTCGTCCCACCGGGGTTGCTCTGGGTGCCCTCAGTCTATGGGCCCAGTACAGACAATGAACCCCCACGGGTACCACCTGAGATGACCAAATCGTCGTCGCTGTATTTAAATGCCTCGACAATGTTATCAACAAAAAATAAGTGCAACTCTATAGAAAGCCACCAGGCATTTGTCTATTGGAGAACATCGTTCCAAAATATGAGTATGGCGCAGTGTTCTTGGTTCTTTCGATAAAGTCACGTAGAAGGGAAATAATTTACCGAAAGAACCAAGAAGATGAATCCCTGCAGTCACGACAGCTTTAAATCGAAAAATATGGCGCAGTGGTTACCGCGGTCCACAAACCTGGACGATCTGAGTTTCATTCTTGGCCACTGGTTAACATCAGCAGTGAGTGATATCTAAACCAATCCAGGCCCCATCCCCCGCCACCAACCCCACCATGACTGATAATGATGGGAGGGAGGCCTTCATCCAACAGTGGGTTGACCAAGAGCTGCAGATGACGACTCTTGTCGTGTTGAGTAAGTGCCACGCTGCGTAGCTTCCCTGCTGTCACGTTGGCTATGGAGTAATCCGCCTGGGCGGTTGTGTTTTCTCCAGGCCTCACGCTGCTGCTGCCGTACCTGCTGTCCAAGAAGAAGCGCTGGAGACACTGCAAGATCCGCGTCTTCATGGGTGGGAAGCTGGACCGCCTGGAGGAGGACAAGCAGAAGTAAGGCTCGCGCCAAACGCACGTTTACTTGCGTGCAGCGAACGCGGGCGGATCCAGCATTGGAATGACAGAGGGACTGAATTTGGGCCAGAGCTGCTTTAATTTGTGGGGGAAAAACAACTGGATTCACCTATCAACAAAATTATGACCGCAGTTGGAGTCCCCGTCGTGTGCCTCTGCGTCGTGGCCAAACGTGCGGAGTGCACGCAGGAGAGAGCGAGCGGTGGAGACCGCTCCTTGACGCTCGTGCCGCGTGAGCGAGTGAAGTGACTCGCGGCGTGAGCGAGTGAAGTAACCGGTGGAGTCAGCGAGTGTAGTAACCGCTGGTGTGCGCCACCTCTCCATGTCCCCAGCATGACGCGGCTCATCACCCGATTCCGCCTGGACGTGGACGACGTCATCATCCTGACGGACGTCAACAAGAAGCCGCGCACGGAGAAGTGAGGACGCGTCGCCGACACCGAACTAGCGCTGCTCTCCTCCTTCAGTCATGTCCAGTTTGACTGTCCAGCTTGAGTGTCCAGATTGAGTGTCCATCTTGAGTGTCCACCTTGAGTGTCCACCTTGAGTGTTCAGATTGAGTGTCCATCTTGAGTGTCCATTTTGAGTGTCCACCTTGAGTGTCCATCTTGAGTGTCCATCTTGAGTGTCCATCTTGAGTGTCCACCTTGAGTGTCTAGCTTGAGTGTCCATCTTGAGTGTCCAGATTGAGTGTCCATCTTGAGTGTCCACCTTGAGTGTCCATCTTGAGTGTCCATCTTGAGTGTCCAGATTGAGTATCCATCTTGAGTGTCCATCTTGAGTGGCCATCTTGAGTGTCCACCTTGAGTGTCCATCTTGAGTGTCCACCTTGAGTGTCCATCTTGAGTGTCCATCTTGAGTGTCCATCTTGAGTGTCCACCTTGAGTGTCCACCTTGAGTGTCCACCTTGAGTGTCTAACTGGGTGATGTACAGTTAGGCTTGCCACCTCTGAGCTACACAAAATGTGGCACACTGTCACGGGGTGAAGAATATCTCACAATAGAGGACAAGGGGGGAACTACATCTGAATGCATTGCCTTGAGGGGGGTATAATTTCGTCCTACTGACAAAACCGAGACTTGTAGTCTCCTGGAAGAACTCGCCGATTTACAAGGGAAGCAGCAACCTCCTCAGCAGGAGGAGGTTGCTGGGGAAACCAGAAGAGTTGCCAGGTAGTGAGTTCCCAGCCCGGTTAGGGGTCATACACTCAGTACGTACGCATGGAGTGGGTAATCCCAAATGCGTACGCTTGCGTATGGGGGGGGGGTCTACTGACAATGTACACATAGGGAACGGGGGGGGGGGGGGGGTGAAGCCTCAATAATAATTCGTCTACATTGGCCTTCAAATGAGTTAGATAGTCCGGCGGTGGACTATCTGTTTGCTTAAACACGTTAATATTATTAATCCTTGATCGTTTCTGCGTGGATTAAATATCGACCGTTCTATAGGATTCGGGGAGGGTGTGTCAAGCGTACGTACGCAGGTGGGGGGTGTAAAAAGTACACGTGCGTACAGGGGGAGGGGTCAAGTTTTGACAGATTATTGCGTACCTACTCAATGGATGGCCCCTTGGAGTCAACACGGCCCCTCAGCCCTTCAGGGTGGATCTAATCAGCACCACCACGTGAGCGGTCAGCACCACCACGTGAGCGGTCAGCACCACCACGTGAGCGGTCAGCACCACCACGTGAGCGGTCAGCACCACCACGTGAGCGGTCAGCACCACCACGTGAGCGGTCAGCAGCCGTTGTCGTTCACTTCTCAGGAGAGACCGGCGTGATGAATATGAATGCTAAAGCTGTCAACAATCCACACGGTTTACCCCTATTCTTGTACAGGGAAATTGAGTCTTTAGGTCCATACGGTGTATAGCCGTTTAAATAGGGGCAAAAAAAATCTATTTGTCTGTGTTGCTCCCTTGTGATGGGACTTTGTAGGATGAACGTTGAGATTTATAAGGGCACGAGTTGACCAATAAGGTCTGAATTGGTCTGTTAATAAGGTAGGCACTGGTAATGGGTTGACAGGAATGTGAATGTGGAATTTACACTTCTGGCTCGGCTCCCCCTGGCCGAGCTGAGCACTTCTCCTTGTTCACTGTACGAGATGTCCCCGCATCGCGGGCGGAACTCACTTCGACCTCTGTTCGCTTGCGTCATTCAGCTCGCGATCGCACGCACCGTCGAAAACTTTCGCTCATACTCCAGCAGCGCTCCATGTACACCGCGGCGGACCAACGCTCGCGGGCGGCAGGAGGTGTCGTGTGTGCGGCAGAGGTCGCAATCCGGGTACCCGATACCTGTACCCTACCGGATACCCGGCTACCCATACCCAGACAGGTACGGGTATGGGTACCCGTTTGCAACCCTGGTGCGGCCGGGTACAGGTACGGGTAAGGAATCAAAACCCGTTTGCGAACCTCTGGCGTGCGGTCGTGGCCCTGCGTCCCCGATCCCTCTGCTGACCGATGCCCGTGCCCCCTCTCCTCCTCCTTCTCCTCTGCTGTGTGTCACCTCGCCAGGATAAAGCAGTTCGAGGACATGATCTCTCCGTTCCGACTCAACGACGGCTTCAAGGAGGAGGCGGAGGTGGAGGAGTTGCGCCGCGACTGCCCCTGGAAGGTGTCCGACCACGAGCTTCTCTCGCTGCGGGACAAGGTGCTTGCGCTTTGTTCACCCTCGCACGCTGCAGTAAAACTCACGGCTCCCGTCTCGAAGAGAGTGGCGCTGCACCCAAAGCGGCGATTTCCAGGATGGCAGAAGGCACAGCCGTGAGCGTTGGCTCGGTACTGGAGGCGGCACCTGACTCGTAGACTGGGCCGTATGCCGCCTGTGACGTGCAGAATGTGGAAACGTGACATCCCGGGTCTCCGAACCGGGCAGACGCGGCTGACACTAAGTCCTGGCCGTACCGCGTTGGCTTTTTGGGCTTCACATTCCTTGACCCCTTGCGTGGCCGCTTGCACAGCGGCTTGTTAACGCACTCCGGGGCAGCCTCCCGGCGCTTCGGAATATGTAGACGACCGTGAGATGACGCCGCAGCACAGCGAAGATATATACACAGATCAGCTTTGAGATGATCGCACCCTCTTCACGTTCCATGTTTTCGTCTCTCTCTTTCAGACGTACCGGCAGCTGAAGCTGAACGAGCTCATGATTCAGAACTCCAACGACGCAGCCCTCATCGTTGTGTGAGTAGCGCGGGGGGTCCATGCTTCAGCACAAGGGCTTGGCTACTACGTAGAGAGCCTGCGGGCGCCACCACCGCCTGCTATTGTGGAACGGAACGCGTAGTTGGCGGTGGACTGACCGCCGCCGAGGTTAGTTTCAAATCAGGCGTGGGGAACCTACGCCCCGTGGCTTCAGTTCACGCGGCTTATGGCCACATGAGGTCTAGCACTTCAAATCGGCCCACCATCGGAATTTGTTCATCGCTGCCGGCATCTTAGCTGCACTGGTCGGGTACTAGAGGGGCCTATATTTCGACCTGGCAAAAACCCTCTTAATTTTCGCTTGCTTAGTAAAGGTGAGAGTTAATTATTTTGGCGTTCTTCATTGGTGTGTGTTAATGTGTCGCCCGCCTAAGTGTGTTTCAAATTCGTATTCTGCCCTCGGTGAAGAAAAACGTTCTCAATACCCTCTTTTAGAAAATAAAAGAGTAGCGTGCGTTCAGTCCACTGCAATCGATCACTTATCTCGGTTGTCAACTAACCTGCTGTTAAGGTCACGTAGAATGGAAATAATAAAATAATAATAAAACATAATAAAATAATTCTCACGATGTTTCGGCCAAAACGCAAGCAGCCTGGGGTGCGTCATTCAGACTCTGTCTTCTCGACAGACCTGTTCTTCACCTGAGGACGGCTGCTTGCGTTGTGGCCGAAACGTCGTGAGAATTATTTTATTATGTTTTATTATGTTTTTTTTTTTTATTATTTCCATTCTACGTGACTTTACCGAAAGAAGCAAGAAGATGAATCCCTGCAGTCACGAAAGCTTTAAATCGAAATTGAACCTGCTGTTGCCACTCTAGCAGAGGCGGAGCATGGTTGGCAAGGGACCCTGGTGCACGACCTGGAATGGAGCCCTCCTTGTCAAATTCTCGCTTCTTTGAAGCTTAGTACCTGGGCCCCTCTACCCCGTGGGCCCTGGAGCAGTGGCACCACCTGCACACACGATAGCCTCACCACTGCACCCGAGCGCTCTTTGCCAATCGTCAGCGTGCACGATCGGTGACATGTGCACATTTTTTGTGTCGCTGATTTGCGCCGTGCAGGAGCCTGCCCATGATCCAGAAGGGACGGTGCCCGTCGGCGTTGGGCATGGCCTGGCTGGAGGTGCTCAGCCGGGATCCTGCCCCCAGTGCTCATCATGAGGGGCAACCACGTGAACGTGCTCACCATCTACAGCCAGTGACGCATGCTCGCGGAAAAACCACGCTCGCAGCCCGCTCGCACGCACGCACGTGTGCAAGCACACGGTCATCGTAAACCACACTCACACCCAATCGCTCGCTCACACTCTACTTAAACCATAAACTAAACTATTTTTTTATTTTACCAGGTAAGGCCCACTGAGCGATATAGTTTCTTTTTCAGAAACGATCTGGCCACAAATGATAGCCCAATGAAATGGCTTATCACGTGGAAATGTATCGCAGCTAAATGCTCTAACGCATGTTTCTAAATGTGGAGGGAAAAACTGGAGGACCCAGAGAAAAACCCATGCGACCACGGGGGGAACATGCAAACTCCAAATATACAGGCATTCAGGGTCAGGATTTCACCGACGACCTCCTGTATACCAAGCGAGGAAGTTAACATCTCGCCACTGCAGCACCCCACTTACACACACACACCAGCCCAGTCACCCAAGCCGTCATTCCTCCAGACTCAATTCTCACGTGCACCCGGCCTCATTCGCACGATTGGCCACTTCCACCGCAAACCTCCGTCCACGATCAATCGTCATTCACCCACGCGCACACGCACACGCCAACAGACTGGGGAATGTGCATTTTAATTCCCTCTTATTTAAGTTCTAATTGCAATCGCTAGTTGTATTTGTATTAACTTAACAATAGTGTAAGTACACAGTTGTAGAATACAATGTTCGTTATTTTCTTTGAACCAAAAACGGAGGGACGTTTCATGAACATTGACTAATGTGATTGACTAATACCGGCCACACGGCTCAGTGGGAGAGCGAGTGGCTTCACAATCAGAAAGGTTGAGAGTTCAAATCCTGGTTGGGGGGTGGTGGGGTTCACTCAGCCAATCATCCCACTGGGGTCGATTAAATAAAAACCACTTTGCGGTGAAGGCAACAGTGATTGTCCTATTGAGGTACTCCCCCCCCCCCCTACTATAGGAATGTGGAATTTCCACCACTGTGACTCAGGGCTGTAAACAGGTGATGGGCACCAATGCTGCAATGCCCACTTGCATAGGAACTCACTTTGACTCCTTATTGACTAAAGGGTAGTTGTGTGCAATGGAATTATATTTTCCTTCAACAATGAATATACTTTTTTTATTCACCGATTGAAAACACGTATTCAATATTAAACAATTATATTGTATTTGCTCTATATATTTTTGTGAATCAAATAAGTGCTATATGTATAAAAATAAGGGTTGTTTTTTTTTTGTAGCTCCGAAAGACGTAATGGATAACTTAGATGACATTTGATCTATATTGCAGGTCTTTCCATAAGGGTATAATATCCGTGTCTTCGTGTAACGTTAACTCTGCTGCTACACTTCGGCCTGGCGCGTGGAGACTGTAGACCAGCTTCCTTTCTGCGACGTTTCACTCTTGTTGGCTAATAAATTAAAATGCGAGTCATTTTATGCTCTCCGTGTCAATATTCAACTTGTTTCGCACCTTCCTCCGAACGTCACCTGAATATGCATTCTGCGGTCCGGATCGGTTGGGGTGGTGGCCCTGGAAATGTTCAACAAGATTTTAACCCCCAGGCAGAGCCACGATGTTCCACCATTGCTTCTCCCAATATTTCTTCACGGTCTCTCCTACACGGCACTTTATCCTCGGTGATAAATGACCCAATCAAGTTGGCCGTTTTGTCCACGAGTAATTGGCGTCAAAGCATCAGTCCCTCCACATCAACGCATACTTTCCCTTTGTGAGTGCATCTCAGCAGCGCAGTGGAGCGTACATTTTACTGGTAGGAACGAAGTGGACCAGCCTACAATAGATTATATCGTCCGTCCGTCCATGTAGCAACATCGCCCCTACTGCAAACACTTCGCATTAACCATATAAAAACCTTTAGACTCAGTGACGCTTTCCTGGCTAAACAAGTGTAACATTCCCTTATAATTCCCTCAGATAGCTTTTAATTAAAATATTTAAATTAATGAGGCTTTCCTGGCTAAACAAGTGTAACATTCCCTTATAATTCCCTGAGATAGCTTTTAATTAAAACTTGTAAATTAAAATTTAACTCACAGCGGCCTAAAGCCTACAGCTAGGCCTAAAGCCTCGAACAACGCCTCAAACTCTCCCTTCGTATCGTTCCCCCGCGTGTGTGCAAGGGAGTTAATGTTTAACAATGTTACATTCCCTGATGCTTTTAAATAGAAACATTTAAATTTAAAGCTTTTACATAAATATTAAAAAGTTAAATTAAAAATTAACTCACGGCGGCCTAAAGCCTACAGCTAGGTCTAAAGCCTAGACCTAGGCCTCAAACTCTCCCTTCGTATCGTGCCCCCGCGTGTGTGAAAGGGAGTTAATGTTTAACAATGTTACATTCCCTGATGTTTTTTAATAGAAACATTTAAATTTAAAGCTTTTACATTAAAAACAACTCCCTACCCCCCCCCCCCCCCCTCGTCGGCAGCTCTCCAGCCTAGAGCCAGGCCTGGGAATCTCTCCCCCGCTAGGGGTGTATTGGGCGGGGCTACAGCGGCAGGGGGCGGGGCTACGCGGGGCTGGGCGGGGCAACGGCGGCAGGGGGTGTGGGCATGAGGTGGAGGGCGGGGCTACGCGGGGTTACGGCGGTAAGGGGCGGCGCAACGAGCTGGGGGCAGGGACATCGAGATGGGGCGGGGCCACGGGTGGCCGGGACGGGGTTACGCGGGTGGAGGGCGGGGTCACGGGGCATCCACTTATTGGCGGCCATTTTTTGTCATTTCATTTTATTATAGCCATTCAATTGTTCGTTTCTACCAGTCCACCCCGCAGGGTCCTGTTCTCACCGCGTGGACTACACCTGTCCCTCACGTGTCCCCCCCGTGTCCCTCACAAGGCCTTCACGAGGTCCTTCCGTGGCCTTCACGAGACCCTCCGCACGGCCCTGTGCGGCCCCCCGCTCGTATTCTTTATTTCGCTGCCGGTTCACGAGCCTCCTCCGCCACCTCGAGCAAACGCCATTCACCGTGAATTTATGTTACGAAAAAATATAGCACGTGGTTAAAAAAATAATATATAAAGCACAATTTTTAATATGTCTTTACAAAGCTCACACCAATCACAATGAATGTGATGAAAAAAAAACATCTACTGGAAAAACCAAATGCTGTTTTACTTAACATCTGCAACTTCTCAGCAGTGGGTTATGGTCATTATTCCATTGTAAATCATCTCACACAGTGGGGGTTAAATTCGCCCTCCTCTAACCATGAGTAAAATTAGCCAACCAGACCTTAAACTACCTCTACAACACTTGATAATGAATGCCAACTCCATGCTCCATCTATAGCACTTACACCAGGCCTCAGATTACATGTTTAATTTATTTCCCACCGTTGGAGTCGATGGTGCATGCCTGTAACGTAGTGGGGCGAGGCGAGGTTGGTGACTCACAAGGACTGAGTCACCAGGTTCCAGCTCCTCATCCCAAGACGAGCAGCAGCCAGTAGGCGGCGGTGAGCAGTTGCCGTGCACCCAGAGAAACATTTCGGAAGTCGCAAAATTAAAGCCATGTTCCAACTTAACAAGTGCTTAAAATTAAATGTATCGTATTCTCGAGACTACAAGATGTGCTTGGTCCGACCTAAAGGTCACAGCGGTGTATACGTAATGGAAAGGCTGCTAAACATTTAAACGTATGCACATCAATTAATAGCGAGCACATGGACAGACTTAGGAGATTTTTTTTACATCTCCCAAAGCACTTCCTTAATGATGAACAAGCATTGAGACACCCATTAAGACGTTTATGGTGTCCAGATCACAACCACAGACTACATCTATAAACAAGACAACTTGACCTGTAAAAATGTTTTTGTGCTATTTTTTAGTGTGGAAATAGGCAACGCAGTGGAACACTTTTCTCGTTCAACGTTGCTAATTATCAGATTGCTGACCTCATTCGGATGGGTAGATTTGGGTTTCCCAAATGTGAATCAGTAGTCCCACAAGTGAAATGCATACATGATCTAAAAGTAAAAATAAATTGCTATGGCAACACAATTATAACCACTATTCCTCCTACGTTTCATAAGTCCACCAGACATGGCCACAAGGTACACGTTCTACTGCTCTTCAGGAAATGTATAGGGTAATTTGCCCACCCACACATTGCAAAATTATTTTTTACCAAATATCTCAACGCATGACCCTGCTGAGAAATGCCAGCCATTCCCATGGCCACGGGCACACAAAAGCTCGCAGGCCCCGGGAACTGTCCTGGGCCATCCTGGCGCAGCTTGGAATGCATCCCAATGATTCGAGGCATCTAGGGTTCCCGTGCGTTCAGCCCCTTCCACACCCTTCCTCCACCAGCCAGAGGGAAGTCAATTTAATGTTTTTCTAACAATATTAAAAGGTTTGGGTTAGGTCGCCCAAAGCTATACGGTACGAAAGAAGTTCAATATATTTACATATACATACATTATATATTAATTTTCCACCAGTTATTTTTTATTAAACAAAAAGCATGGGCATAAATTTGACCTAGGTGAAAGAGACCAATGACTGCGCTCTCTCTCATGTGTTGACCTCATGACCTCACGACTGTTTGTGAGCACGGCCAATGTAAACAAACAGGCTACCTTGTAAAAGCATGCCCAAGCCGGTACAACATCCAAGCCAGGTTGGCCCAGCAAGGAGGGAATGCAGGCTGAGTCCAGTCGCCCGGCTTAAGAACCAAACCGAGAGCAGACCCGGCTCGGTACTCGAAGTAGGCAATTCGACAGTCAATAAAGCGCTCCTGGGTAACTAAAGGCCGTAATACAACATTAATGTAAACTTGAAAGGGTGCAAGGCTAGGGTATGAAGTCACATCGACTGGCTGTGGAGGTCACGTGACGTCGTGATCGGTGTGGAGGTCACGCGCCGAGCGTGTTCTTGGAGTTGGGCCGCAGGATGCGAGGTCGTGCCTCTTCGAACACGGTGTACATGCGCTCCAAGCTCTCCTCTGCTGGGATCACCTGGAGGTCACCGTCAAGATAGACATTTACATTGCATTACATTTACCTTGAAACAAATGCCCTTTCCCCCAAAAATATATTCTGATTGTACGCTCAGTGTAATGTCATGGAGAAGAAGACATTTCCATTTGGAATGATCACAGCTAGCAGTATAACACGATGTTTAAAATATAATTGTCCTGGATTATGATATCACAGAACTACTTCTTAAGTTACCTTAGACTCTTTAATTAATAACGTTTAAAACATGTTTGTTGAATGGCAATGAAATAAAAAGTGTTAATTATCAGAGCTGGAAAAGGTAAGAAATATTTTTAAAATATTGGTGTTTGTTTTGGTCAGGCATTGATGATCGCAAGCTCGTTGGCCAGATTGGAACACAGGCCCTCAGCAATGCCGTTCCAGAGTGCTTGCACGTGGTGCCAGGTGTGGAGAGAACCATTCAACCCCCCCTGGAAATTCGATGCATCGCCTCGATAAAAGTGTGGCGATTCGATCCTCAAACCAAAACATTTTTCTCACAATAAAGTCAACGATGACACGGATACAATTTTTTTTTTAAGATTTGTTCATGAGAGTATTCATAACAAAGGTTATTTGGGTTAAATCACGTAAATGTGATGTTAAACCCGCCACAAAACCATACAGCCAATTATTAAGGTATGTCACGGAAGCAAAACGTGACAATCAGTTACTCAGTTAAGGAAAGCTGTCTTGGGTGTGGACCAATCAACTTCAAGGACAGTGCATGCATTATCAGAGTTATGTTTTTTGTTTGCATTATGACTGCAGGTATTGTGGTCTATGCAAACATGACTCCTTGTAAAAAAAGGTGTCAGTTTTGTTGCCAGATAAAAGGGATAAAAAGCCAATTATCATACTTTTTTACTGGCAAATGAGGTTCCAATGGAATCAGTTACTACTTCAGCACATCGGTGTGTTACAGAGTAAACCCACAACATTTACAATTCGAGTACGCCGTTTCGCTGGCGATTACAACAGTATTTATCACAGAAATTAATAATACAAAGCAAACTCATTCCCCTTGGATAAGTGAAGTAATTCTGTTACATTACAAATCTAGCCTGTTGAGGTTGTGGCAAGAACTCTAAATCAGATTTCTGCAGGCTCAAATGCAGGACAGGGGGCCCATCGTGCTTCCAGGTTGAATAAAATAAAGCAACACATTTGTCAGTAACACTGCCTTAACAGAAAAATATCTATAATAGGAGACGTTTTTGGCAATGGCCCTTCTTCATAACACTAAAATAATAAAATATTAAAAAATACTTTTTTTTTTAAGCACGCTTTAATGAAATGTACTGTCCGAGCTGCCCCTCCCCCTGCCCCCTTACCCCATCGCCCTTACCCTCCTTCCACATCCCCCGCCCCTGGGCGTGGCTCCCCGAGGCTTGCCGTGACGTAAGGGACCGTGGTGATTTACAGGCAACGTGAGTTGAGCGTGGAAAATTAGAGCCGTAAAAATAATGTTTAAAAATATGTTTTTTTAATGATAGAATATAGTATTGTCATCAGTATGGCATACCTATACCAAGTTTGCAGTCGATACGACATTGGGAATACGGTTGGAATTGAGTTACAAGATTCCAGGATACGACAACACACAGAGTGAGTTAAATAAAAGCGTGTAAAACGTTTAAAAATGTCATGGATTTTTTATGATAGAATATAGTCTTGTCATCAGTATGACATAGGTATTTCAAGTTTGCAGTCGATAGCACATTGGGAAGTGGGTAAAAATTGAGTTAGAAGATTTTTTTTTAGGCTACAACAGACGGAGTTAAAAAAAGCGTGTAATAATAAAGTATCACTTTGTGGTAAGGAAACAAGTGGATGTCCTCATGGCAAGACTAGCAAATGTCAAAGGAATGTGGAATTCACACTCTTGGCCAAGGGCCGCTATCTGAAGTGAGCACTATCTTACACCCACTTCAGCAGAGACATTATTATACGAAACGACACCTTATACGCTACAATCAAATCATGTTCACCACGGTGGACGTTCACAGCACTCCGGGGTACCTGCACCCGCCGGCCACAGAACAGATGGCGGCAGTCATGCCACCCCGCACCCTTCTGTGTGATCGTGCCGGCCCGTTCATTACTTTACTCACCAGCACAGGAGCCGGCAGTCGGAAGATGCTCTTGTCCACAAGCCAACTCTCATAGAGCGAGTGCAGACTCTGCAAGTATTCCTGCACACGTGCACCATTTTACTCATCAGGTGTGCAAGCTTCGGCTTCATTGAGATGTCCTGCAGAACTGTCATAAAGAACGAGAACTCTATAATTTATATAGCGTCTAAATGCAATTACATCCGAAGGTTATTATCATCAGCAGCCATGATCAATCCACTGCTGGGTGGAGGCATCCCCAATTCACGATAACCTCCCTCGATCCTGCGATATAACACATTCCTGCGGAGGGAGCTGGTAGGAACGTTGGGTTGCTCAGTCAATGGCCAGGGTCAACGGCGGCGTGCTGTATTCCGCAAATACAGTATGCCCGACTGTGAGGGCGGGCACAAGCCGGCGTAAGTAGGTTAAACGTTGAGTTTTATAAGGGCACCACGGGGTGACCAGCCCCTCCCCACCCCCCACCCTCCCCACCCACCCCCCACCCTCCCCACCCACCCCCCACCCTCCCCACCCAGCCCCTCCCCACCCAGCCCCTCCCCACCCTCCCCTCCCCACCCAGCCCTCCCCACCCAGCGAGAGACCGAGAACAGAGGCACGTGTCGGCCGTGGGGAGCCCCTACCAGCGGAACGATGCGCTTCTTCCTCGCGGCTGCGCAACTTCAGACGCTCATGGCAAGTCTGCGGGGACGCCTGAAGGTACACTGCGTTGTGAAACACAGAAACATAGAAGAGCAGAGGGACAGAATACGGATAAATAGTAATACATTGGCGGCGACATGAGTGCGGTGACAAGGCTTAGCGCGAGCGCGTTTGCCGCTTGTTGCAGAGATTCGGCAGTTCGATTCCAGCAGTGGGTGTGATAAAATAATGCCACACATCGTACGCTTCAAGGTGGACTTTAAAGAGCCCGTCAATTCATTCACAAGAGTAGGCCAATGTGTGCGGGCATTTCAGGGTCAAAGTTATCCACAAACACATCAAATTGAGATCATACCGAGCGATCATCGCCCCCTACTGGCAGACTAATGCCCCAGGTCAACCTTGCAAATGAGACTCATCCTGGCCTCTTGAGGTCTTACCTGGTTACGCAAAATATACTTGACACAAAGTAACAAACTGGTAGCTTACAAGCGAGGGTCGTGAGTAGGCATCGTTTGTTTCTCACGGCCCTTGCGTTTATCTTTCAATTTAAAGCTTTCGTGACTGCAGGGATTTATCTTCTTGGTTCTTTCGATAAAGTCACGTAGAATGGAAATAATAAAATAATAAAAATAAAACGTAATAAAATACAATTCTCACGACGTTTCGGCCACAACGCAAGCAGCCGTCCTCAGGTGTGTCTGTCTTCCCTATAGACCTTGTTCTTCACCTGAGGACGGCTGCTTGCGTTGTGGCCGAAACGTCGTGAGAATTATTTAGTTTCATTTTTGTTATTTTATTATTTCCCTTCTACGTGACTTTACCGAAAGAACCAAGAAGACTTGCGTTTATCGTCGCGAGGTGGCGTGCGCGAGCGCTCGCCGGTTCGTACCAATGAGGTCGACGGGCATGGGGATGGTCTTGGCGAGCCAGTCGAACCACTCGCTCAGCACGGCGTACTCCACCTCTGGCATTAAGCCACTGCTCCACAAGGTAACACAAGGCGAGGGTGGGGGGGGAGGGGCGGATTAATCGACACTTCTGTATTAGAAGCACGTAACGATTCAATAAAATGTGTCAATTGCAAGGGAATCTTACGTCTCATAGTACAGTATCGAACCGTGTACTTAACAAAAGATCGGCGGTAGTGAGAGGTATCGCGTTCGCTGGATTCGAGAGGGACGTCCCCATGGCTCTATTACAACGCTTACTTTTCCATTCTCATTATTTCATTAAGGTGAAGTGAATTAGCAACGCCATCTTTGCGGATATTAAGGTTATTAAGTCATTCTCAGAAGCCTCTGCGGAGGCTTGGTGGATGTCGGTGATGTTGCCTGCGAATCAGCAGCACGGGCAGTGTCTGATCATGTGATCCATGATCTAGCAACTCTTCCATTAATACTAGGATGCAGGTGGTTTACCTTCGGAAGAGGTTTTCGACAAAGATGTATCTTGCGCTGAAGATAGACCTCTCCATCATCCTGACTGGGGCGGTCTGCATGGGATGAGCAAGAGGTGCAGTTCATCACACTGGAATACATCTGCTTAGATTCCTCTAGAATTAGTTTGCTGCAGGTTAATTCTTTGGTGAACTTCTACAATGCCATAATTAACACTGCCTAATGACCACGTTGGAGGTGACGTGGAATTTGTTTATGTATGATTGAACTTCTTTCGCACCGTACGAAGCCAACCGTGCTAGTTAATTAGAGGTGCTATTTCTAGTCCTTTAACTTATACAATTTATACAGTGAGAAGTAAGAGCTTGGAGTCGGTTGTAGCTAAGCACGAGTTGCAGGATTTTGTCAAAGTAAGTGACGATGCGGTGGCATCAGTGGCACTGCTTATGATGGCCTCTTGACCTTGGCCACTTATGGATGACGACCTTCTCAAGCGGTGCATATCGTGGACACTGTTTGACCATAACTTCCCCAAGATGATCAGTGAGCACAGACATGGAGGCAAAGGTGTGCAATACATAAACGTATATCGCTGAACTGCTGTATGCTGCCCACAACATTAGCACAACCCCACAGAAACCTATGCCAACCTGGCGTGCGTGCTGTTCGAGCATTCCAAGTACTACGGCTATAACCCAGGTCTGGGTGTTCGCTTACCGATGGGCTGGTGTGATTCATGATCATGGTGAGCTGCACGTACGTCTGCAACGTCAGGCTCCAGCGCTTCGGGTCACTGTATAACAATGCCTGCCACACACACACACGAAACAAAGATCCCCCATATATTCTTAATGAGCTGTTGGGGCAAGTGCTGTAAGAGAGCAGCAACTATGAAAGCCGGCACGACACACGATGGGGTGGGTGAAAAGGACCACGCCTAGCCGCCTTTGTCTCCCTAGTGGCGATGTTTATACATCACACATGGTACTGATTTTAGGCTGAGACAAGTTATCTGTTTCTGATAATCGTCGCTGATGTTGGTCATGAGCGGGAATCAAACTTATTTTAATAACATCAGTAGAAAGAGCCGGTGTGACAAAGCAAAGAAAATTGCAGGAGTATACTCTGCATTGACATGTAATCGTCTGGTCTTCAATAATGTTGCATGACGTAACTGATGAGTAGGGACATGGAACAAGGGTGATTCAATCAGTCTAGGCCTTAACATGAATGTTCATTTTTAAAAGTCAAGTCATGGGAAGTAGTGTTGTTGTAGTTATAATAATACAAAAAACAGGTCCCATCAAGCATTACCAATATACATTACCTCCAAAGGTAAATTAATAGATGGTCTGCATACAAGCTTCCCAAATACTTACATTGGTGTCTGTAAACGGGACATCTAAATAGGTAAACGCTACGTTTAAAATAAGTCATGAAATTTCTGTACGCAGAAAAGAATTGAGTCTTTCTGTAAGACGTTTGGAGAAATAAATATTGCATTTGGAAGTACCCAGAGAAGTCTACACGTGCGTGGTGACAACACAAAGATCCGCACAGATGGGCTCACAGACTGATTCTATTTAGTATCATCTCCTGGCCATCTCGCAGTCCAATTGTTTCGGAATGTTCAGGAATAAATGTATTCCTTTGTGTTTCATTCAGTGTAATTCTTGACAATATATTATCCCTGCGTCATGACCCTAAGTTGCAAAATTTCAGAATTTACTTCAAAATGTACAATTTTAATAACCAGCAGCAACACTGCCCCCCCCCCTTCACTGATGGTCTAATTTAAACTTGCATACCGGTGCTTCGTCGCCTTGTGTCCCTCAGGGACAGCTCTCAACCGGGGTTCAGTCCCCCAGGCTAAAGAAAACTACAGCTGCGACTTGGAATTATTGAGAGGAGTTTTGATGCAAGGTGCTTTGAGTTGCAGAATATGTAAGTCCCCTATAAATTCGAATCATCATCGATATATTCCCATATAAATCCCTCGTGTTTTCTTCGCAGAGTTGTTTCTCAGATAACAGGATTCATGCACAAGAAACTAACTTCCAACTCGGAGGGTTCCAGGCTTCCTTACCAGGAGATTATGGCCCCAAATGTTTCTCCACTTGGTAACTGGCTCGGCGACCACCTGAAATGTGACAAATTGCAACACGGCAGTGAGACACTCATCACACGTCAGTAACGAAATTCACAAAAGCCTCTCGATTAACTTAAGGCACCGCTACAAGTAATCACACACCGCAGCATTTAGTTTGTTGTTCAGATAAAAGTCTCACGAAGTTTCTCACTCCAAATGTAATGAGCTGCATTTTGTTTTATTCACACGAAGGCTTTCGGAACCGCTGTGCTGACGTGCGGTACGAACCTCAATACCCGGTGAACCCTGGAAGTATTCCAGGCATTTTGTTTTTCCACACCCAATGTTGCCTTCGACTGATATCTGCAAAATTACAGAGCACACAGCAAAGCCTATTCGTGAAAGAAAAAAAACAGGGAGGTGATTTATGTGACTCGAATGAGTAACCCAGACAGACGTTAATTATATATTGCTATAAAAACACTAACCGGCACTGTCTCTCAGCATCATTGCCCACTTAACAGCTCGTTCCATTTCCATTGTCAATGTCTAAGTTCCTGACGCCCATGCACTGCACGGGTTGAAGATGATCTTTTAGGCGCATTGGTAATTCATACCCAGTCAACCCCTTAATTATCAGTGCCCTACCTTATTACAAACAAATTCAGACCTTACAGGTCACCTCGTGCCCTTATAAATCTCAACGTTCATCCTATAAAGTCTCATCACAAGGGAGAAACACAAAGACAAAACACTGTTTTTGCCTGTATTGAAACGACTGTACGCCGTGTGGACCTGAAACTCAATTTCCCTGTAACAAGAATGCTGGGTAAACCGTGCGGGTTGACAGATATGGTAATGCGTTCTTTGGTAATCTTGAGGCACATTAACATCGGTAACAACATACATTCAAGTTTCATTTATTAGGTGTAGCTCTGTGAGCCATGCGGCTCTGAAGTCGGGTGCAATCGCAACAAACTAAATATGAACACAGAACATCCCAAAGCGCCGACGTGCAACAGAAACATCCTGGAATAAACCAGCAAATATTGAAAAAGCGTATTAAAACGCTGTGTGCAAAAATCACAAAGTGGTACAAGCCAACAACAACAACAACCATAAGACAATTTAGATTAACCATATGTTTTCGAATCACCAAAATAAAGCTATAAAAACAATGTAACGACAGTAATCATAGAAACTGTGATTCAAAACTTATTGCAAGGGCACGTAAGACGAAATGCTCTCACCAAAGCTCTCAAGTTCAACATGTTTCATGTCAAACAAGCGAGGTTGGCAAGTGTAAAACTAACGTCTTATAGTTATTAGACCACACACACACACATTATAAAGACAACTCACCACAAGATTTTGTCTCCTGGAACATCCTGTGCTGAATCCTGAGGCAGAGAGCAAACACGGGGCCGGTTAGAAAGAACTTCGCGTTATCAAAGCACGTATTGACATCATGAAGGGATGGGAGAGCGATTCCCACACATTTAACAATCGGGTAGTCGTCCGACGTTTCGCTGGTAGCTACAACCAGCATCATCAAGCAGTTGTCAGAACTGAGGTAACTGCCCCATCATCAACTCTCCAACATCACCAGCGTGTGGAAGTAGTGCTAAATCGGAAGCAGCGATAAATCGAACACGTTTGTGATCAATCGGACACGTTTGTGATTAATCGGAAGCAGTGATCAATCAAGCACGTTTCTTCACGTGACAACTGTAGTATAATTGACTGTGTCGGGTGGAGGAGGGTTTACGACACACACTTCACTCAAGGGACCTCTCCCAAAAAGCGATTATTAATCATATACTGTAGGTCGCGAAAAACCCCAAGGCTTTTGATTTATAACAAATCATTCGAACCGATCGAAAACTAGGTTTGAACGTCAGTTGCGGATTTATTAGACATCATTGTCCTGTGTACATGATACCTCGAAGTGAAATTCCCGTGTCCCACTCTCCACTCTTGCCGATAACCTCGATCGATCCGTGGGGTAATTCCCATGATCCGATCATCTCGGTTCTTCCCGCGGCAGCGATCATCACGCTCGCCCCAATGTTTTAACCACATTTTAAATGTTGCCCGCAATTGGCGGCACATTCAACCCCACTTTCACTTTGCATCCACAAATAAGCCATCCGAAAAAAGCCACCCACATTCATCCTGTTACCGAGATGCTATAACCCTCACCACCAACCACCACCACCAACAAACACCACCACCACCACCAAACACCACCACCAGCCACCACCACCAACACCACCCACCACCACCAATCACCACCAATCACCACCACCACCAACACCACCCACCACTACCAATCACCACCACCACCAACACCACCCACCACCATCATCCACCACCACCAACCACCACCACCACCAATCACCCACCAATCACCCACCACCACCCACCACCACCCACAATCAATCACCCACCACCACCACCCACCACCACCAACCACCACCACCAACCACCACCACCACCACCAACCACCACCACCACCCACCACCACCACCAACCACCACCACCACCACCACCACCACCACCACCACCACCAACCACCACCACCACCACCACCACCACCACCACCACCAACCACCACCAACCACCACCAACCACCACCACCACCAATCACCCACCAATCACCCACCACCACCCACCACCACCCACAATCAATCACCCACCACCACCACCCACCACCACCAACCACCACCACCAACCACCACCACCACCACCACCACCACCCACCACCACCACCACCACCCACCACCACCAACCACCACCCACCACCACCACCACCCACCACCACCACCCACCACCACCAACCACCACCACCAAACACCACCACCACCACCAACCACCACCAACCACCACCACCCACCACCACCAACCATCAACCACCACCACCACCACCCACCACCACCAACCACCACCACCACCAACCACCACCACCACCAACCACCACCACCACCACCACCACCACCCACCACCACCAACCACCACCCACCACCAACAACCACCACCACCACCACCACCACCAACCACCACCACCACCAACCACCACCCACCACCACCAACCACCACCACCACCAACCACCACCACCAACCACCACCACCCACCACCACCAACCACCACCACCACCCACCACCAACCACCACCACCACCAACCACCACCCACCACCACCAACCACCACCACCACCCACCACCAACAACCACCACCACCACCAACCACCACCGCCACCACCAACCACCACCCACCACCACCAACCACCACCACCCACCACCACCAACCACCACCACCCACCACCACCAACCACCACCACCCACCACCACCACCACCACCACCACCACCCACCACCACCACCCACCAACACCACCACCCACCACCACCCACCACCACCAACCACCACCACCCACCACCACCAACCACCACCACCACCCACCACCCACCACCACCACCCACCACCACCACCACCCACCACCACCACAATCAACCCGCGACCAGTGTGGTGAAGTATGGCAACAACAACAACAAACCCCTCGCCACCAGCGCACGCAATGACGGTACGAAGCAAGCCCCCCCCCCATCAAGTTACAAGTCGACTTGTCCCCCCCCCCCCCCCAATGATCATGCTCGTTATCACAACAACAACAACAATCATCATCATCATCATCATCGACAGCATCAGCAGCCGTGATCGATCCACTGCTGGCTGACCCGAAGCGGCCACTCGCCTCTGCGGAGGGCCTCCGCTGCCCTGCAGCAAGCCGCGCTCAGCAGCAGGGCGCGCATTGTGAGCCCGTGCCGACCACGTTCAGACAGCTTGAAGAGCAGCAACAACAACAGCTACAACAACAACAACAGCAGCGATGTTTAACTTGCGCGGTGACACCACCAGCACAGCACAGCACAGGCGTCTTCTGTTTCCGTGCACATGCCACGGGGTTCTTAGGCTTCGGCCCCGTTCAATGTCCCGTTGCCATATCAGAGGGTTTATCTCTGTGTGGGTTTTTGTTGACCTCTTGGGGTCAGTAATGTTAGAATATTGCTGGAAGGAACCTCCTGGTTACACCAGCCCACAGGGGATTATTGTGTCCGTCCGTCGTGAATCAAAAAATGGGAGGGGTGGGTTGAGAGGGGAGGGTGGGGAGGGGCTGGGTGGGGAGGGGCTGGGTGGGGAGGGTGGGGAGGGGCTGGGTGGGGAGGGTGGGGAGGGGCTGGGTGGGGAGGGTGGGGCTGGGTGGGGGGTGGGAGGGGAGGGGAGGGGCTGGGTGGGGAGGGTGGGGCTGGGTGGGGGGTGGGAGGGGTGGGGCTGGGTGGGGAGGGGCTGGGTTTGGAGGGTGGGGAGGGGCTGGGTGGGGAGGGTGGGGCTGGGTGGGGATGTGAGGGTGGGGAGTGTGGGAAGGGGCTGGGTGGGGAGGGGCTGGGTGGGGCTGGGTGGGGAGGGGCTGGTCACCCCGTGGTGCCCTTATAAAACTCAACGTTTAACCTACTCACGCCGGCTTGTGCCCGCCCTCACAGTCGGGCATATTTGCGGAATACACCACGCCGCCGTTGACCCTGCAGGCCATTGACCGAGCAACCCAATGTTCCTACCAGCTCCCTCCGCAGGAATGTGTTTATTGAGGCTTCATAGCTATCAAACCAACAAGGTTTTACCACGTGTTCTTGTGCGGGGAAATTGAGTTTGCAGGTCCATACGGCGTGCAGCAGTTTAAATGCGGACAAAATAAAATGTGTTTCTCGCTTGTGATGATGGGACTTTGTGGGATGAACGTTGAGATTTGTTAGGGCACGGGGTGACCAATAATGAATTTGTCTGCCATGAGGTAGGGCACTGATCAGGGGTTGACAGATACAAGACTGTCATGAGGTAGGGCACTGATCAGGGGTTGACAGGTACGAGACTGGAGGAATCCCATGAGCTGTGAAGCTTGTTTTTTACTGATGTCCAGTATGGGTGGGTCACATGGGGCCAACCCATTAATTAAAAAAATAGGCAACGTTTCGGGCAATAGTCCATCTTATTCATATTCTTAGGTTTTCGGTAAAGTCACGTAGGTAAAACATTTAAATTAATAAAAGTAAAATAAAAAATAAAATAAAAATCACGTTTCGGAGGCAACACAAGCTTCCGTCTTCAGGTGGAACCGTCACAGCACGATAGCTGTATCAAGTGATACGATAGCTGTATCAAGTGATACAGCTATCGTGCTGTGACGGTTCCACCTGAAGACGGAAGCTTGTGTTGCCTCCGAAACGTCGTGATTTTTATTTTTATTAATTTTAATTTTTTACCTATGTGACTTTACCCAAAAAACCTAAGAATATGAATCCTTGCAGTCCCGAAAGCTTCAAAAATAGTCCATCTTGTCCATCTTCACAGCACATGGAGAGGCCAGGGGAGGGAGTAATGTGCAACACTGTCGACACAGCAGAAACATCACCAATTTACTGTCCTCCATTCTGCTTTATAAAAACAATTAACTGCCGTATTCACATTGTTTTTGGTTCTTTCGGTAAAGTCACAGTGACTTTACCGAAATAACCCAAGAGTATGGATTCCTGCAGTCACGAAAGCTTCAAATCACGTATTCACATAGTTAAATAAATGAAAATAAATAACCAGACAATTGATCTCTTTCCCATTTCTGTCCCTCCACGTAAAAAAAGGTAAAAGTTTGTTGTTACCATCCAATCTCTGCACCGATTTCAGTTGCCACCTGTCTCAGGCTGGGTCTAACATTTGTGCAGTAAACTCATTTAGAATATGGCAATACCACCGCATCTCAATTCCTGCCACCCAAACACAAACGCCAACACCTGGACTAATAACCCTGAGCCTAATTTCGACATTCAATGTCTCATCCCGCAGTCAGGCAGGCTTGCTTGAACCAATGCTGAGCTGAACGATGTCGACAGTACAGCATCGGCAATTGGGACCCACTCAATGAGGCACCAAATGTCAAAACCGGTCCAGTTTTGTGTTGAACCAATGCTGCCGAAAGGCCGTATCCCTCAGGGGATGTGTAAAATTTTTTTTTTAATGTGTGCAGAAATGTAAACTATAATCACGTCTAAAACTGCCAACTGTGTTCCTCCTGTTAAGTAATACAAACACAACAGTATATCACCACACAGCAATGCTCATTGTGTTGTTGAAGGGGGAGCACAGGACCAGTTCAGATATGATTCACCAGTTACCACTCGTGTTTAGTTGTGGCTGGGAATCGAACTGAGGTTGTGGAGCACATTGAGCAGTGTGGCAATCACTCTGCCACTACTTAATGGTACAGTACTGTAGATCAGAAGGCAGCATAAGAAAACTGCTAATAGGTTAGGTTTATTTCATTAAAAAAATAACCATGTAATGCAAAAAACCGAGAGGGAAACACATTATCTATACATTTATTTTAATGTGATGACATCATACATTGAAATTCATCCAGTGGCACATCCAAGAGTAAGTATGAGCTCTTTTCTTTCGCTGGAGGATACATTTTGGCTTTGTTTTTTTGTCCGGCAGGCAATTGTGCTGTGAAAGCAAAGTTAGACTGAAGGCATTACAAGGCTCGATTTAAAGCTTTCGTGACTGCAGGGATTTATATTCTTGGATCTTGACAAAGGTTGATATGCGCTCTGCTCCTCCCACCCAGCTTAAAATACGCTGCCAAGCTTCGCAGTGTTCATTATGACGCTGTCTTTCCGACAGCTCTGTTCTTCACCTGAGGACGGCTGCTTGTGTTGTGGCCGAAACGTCGTGAGAATTTATTTTTATTATTTCCCTTCTACGTGACTTTACTGAAAGATCCAAGAATACGCATTACAAGTCGTTGACCTCATCCGACTCGACGTTGGTTGTGACACCAGTCAAACACAAGAAATCAATTTTCCCCATAGGGCACAGCTTGGAAGCTGAAGATTTATTTGCAATCGTGTTCAGCCTCTGCATATTTGTCCTGCAACACCTTATGCATCAGACTTTAATAAGCAACGGGGATTGTGAGCAAAAGGGTCACAGAAAACTAACCTAACCCTTAGGGAAAGGGACAAGCGAGGTTTAATTTTGCACGATATTTATTTAAAACATTTTTAATCCGAAAAGTGAAACCTGAAATTGTCATCTACAATAAGTGTGAATCTCAAGAAAACCTGGAAGGTATTACACGTGTTTTAATTCAACATCTCAAAATATAATTTCAAACTGTTGCTCACACAAAACACAGCTGACTCTGACAACCCTAAACATAAAAAATATATACACAGTACAAATAGAATATAAAGTTCCTGCTTCAGAGAACGATAAAAAAGTGATGTCATATACAAATGTCAATCACATATGTGGGATTGTATAACAGAGCAAAACAGTGCAATATTCTTGCATAACTATTCGTACAGCTTGAAATAAATTATTTGGATGCGATTGTGCGTTATATTATCAACATTGTCGAAGCAAGCAACCACTCAAGGCAATTAGTTGCCTGGTAGTTGACAGTTACCAAAATAAGACGTCTAATATTCTTAATACGGTTGTACTTACACACGTACAATTCCAAGATGTGTATATTTTCATACTTTAACACTATTCACACGAGTTCATGCCTACGATATCTGAAAATGTTTGCACTAGACAAATGTACGCAAACTGGACCAGGTCTCGGCTTAATACGGCACTTGTTAAGGGACGTGCGTAAACACATCTCCTGTGAATGCAGAGATCGTTTTTGGCACCATTGCAGATGTGGAAGATGAAGGCCACTTTTGTGAAGAGAGCGTTTAGACATCGTTCATTTTGCACGCTGGATTTTCTTGATATACGTCACCATGAAAAAACTAAATAGCTAATTATTTGTACAACTTGCTGTAGTGTGATCATTGCTGTAGTACATGAGTTATCTATGAGTAACCCATGTTTCTGTTACTGCCTTGTAAGCATTAAACAAGATACTCGCTTTCAGAATTGGTCACTGTACACTTAATGCTACTGAAACACTGTTTTTAGCACCATCGCCCCCTATTGGCACACTCATGCCCCAAATCACTCTGACATTGTCAAAGTGTGTGACTGCTTTCCCCGACCTTATTCCAACTTTTAATGTTACTTTATTGTATCATATCATGGGTCTCTCGATTGGAGTAAGGTATAAACCTGCAACATAAAAAAACACTACACTATGCTGCTTGATTTAACCTCAAAAATCACTACTAGACGCTATAATTGGCCTAAATCTGACAATAAACTAGACGTGTCAAAATGGACTATTAATCAAGCATAACGAGAGTGAAAGATCATTACAGCCAATGCTGCCGATGTAAATACAATTAGCAATAATTTTCTTAAGTGACCCGTTAGCTGTAGCATAGTTGTCGGTCGACCTCCAGGGTCGACCGGTATAGTACTGCACCATCTCGATTTCGGTCTTCCATTTAGTCATCAACCTATAGAAAACATGGCATCCCAATATTTATCATTTTCAAGACATTGCCTGAATATTGTCCAGCTGTATAACAGCTGTGATAATCCAAGCACAAAAAACCAAGGCCCCTTCACTATGAACGGCCCACTTACGATCACAGTTAATATTTGGCTAAATTAAGCCTTAGAATAAGGCTTTTAATTTCAGGATTTGATGGGCTTCCTCTAACCACCCATCCACAAATGTCCCTGCCAATCAAACACCCATGAAGCCACTTGTAATTGTAAATTGTGGTATGGTGAAGGACCTTTAGAGGGGGGTACAACACCAGAACTGTTTTGCAAATATTTCACATGATCAAGGGACCTTTCTTGCCAGTGAAACATGCAAAAAAAACATATTACCAGAGCATGTTTTTGTTTGCATGTTCACCACAAGTATGTGTGGTTAATACAGACATCATTCCTTGATGTTTTAACATCTTAACACCTGTTTTATTGCCAGAAAGGGTAAAACCAATTCTTATATTTCACATATTGGCAGTTTGGTATT